TATATATATATATATATATATATGCGTATATATATGCATATATATACATATATATAATCTATATACATATCTATATACATATATATACAATTCTACTAAAAAGAGTTGAAAAGAATTAGAATAGAATACCTGATGATAAGCAAAGGCCTAAACGCTCTGTCTCTCCCTGACCAATACATTACTCCTGTTTCCAGCATTGACTTTATTTCTTCTTCTTTATCGCTTAACGGAAGAAAACTCTCTCGCCACTCCACCATATTCTTCGCCAATTCAAAGCTATAAAACAAAAAAAAACAAACAAATATTTAATTAATGAGAGATAATAAAATAAAGCAGCAAATAATGAGGAAAAGAGAAGAACAACAAGGAAACAGAGAAAACCAACACGCCACTCCACCATATTCCTCGCGCATTCAAAAACAAATAAACAAATAAATAAAAGGCAAATAAATGGACAAGCAACGAGGTGAATAAAAAGCGATAAAGAAGAATAAACAAACAGAGAAAACCCCTTGCCACTCCACCATATTCTTCCCCTCTACGCATCTATAACAAACACACGAGGGAAATAAGAAACAAACATAAATAAACAAGTAAATAAATAAAAAGCAAAGCAAACAAACAAACAAGCAAAAAACTAAGTAAACAGAAGGAGAAAAAGAGCTCCCCTAAATTCTTTCTTTATTCAAAGATTAAAAAAACAAACAAAACACGAAAAACAAAAAAGGATAAAAAACAAACAAAAGAAAAAACAACAAAGCAAATACAAGGGAAAGAGGAGAAACAAAGAAACGAAAAATACAGGAACAAAGAAACAAACACATAAAGAAACAATTAAACAGAGACTGACAAACAGAGATATATATATATATATATATATGTATACTTCTAACGCAACTGCTGCTGCTGCTGCTCTTTCTGCTTCTGCTGCTGCTATTTCTGCTGCTGATGCTGCTACTTCTGCTGCTGATGCTGCTATTTCTGCTGCTGATGCTGCTATTTCTGCTACTGCTGAAGATGATGATATTTCTGCAGCTGCTGAGGCTGCTGCTGATATTTCTGCAGCAGCTGATGTTGCTGCCATTTCTGCTGCTGCTGCTATTTCTGCTGCTTCCAGTCTTCTGTAGAGTGTTTTCCTTTTAAAATGAAAATGAAATTTACTTTAATCATAAATGCATCAACAACTAAACAAATGCAAATGACAATAATACGCGAAAAACAAATACAAAATTCTATCAGGAATAGCGAAACATTCTGTGTATTAGTTTTTCATGTATGATTTTCATTTGCATTTATTTTTCTTGACTTTTTCCTAATCTCTTTTTGTTTCTTCGTTCCTACCTGCGACTAATGATATTATCTCCCCACTTCCTATAAGCCAGCCAAATAATGCGCAGCAACAAAGGCTCTAAAAAGAGAGGGATATTCCATTTTTCTTGTTTGCAATACTGGCGAAACTCCGTAAGCCATTGCTGCTCCTGAGCCGTTAAAGGTGTGTGGAAAAACACTTGGCGAATTCGAACCTCCTTCTGCAGCAGCAGCAGAAGCAGCAAGAGCAGCAGCAGAAGCAGCAGAGCCAATGAGAACGAGACTGCAGCGAATGCAGAAATTGCTGTACCCAGGACAGCAAAGATCGTGACAATGGATGCAGCAGAAGCAACAGCAACAGAAACAGCAACAGCAGCAGCAGCAGCAACACTAGCAGCAGCAGCAACAACACTAGCAGCAGCAGCAAGCTGATGATGAGACAGAGACATCAGCCTATCTGCACCACGTTGCATACACTAACTACTGCATGCATTCACTACCGCATGCAAAAACAAATGTGTCATATAAATATAGGTATATATATATATGCATATGTAATACATGTGTGTGAATGTATATTTATACATAGATATACGAATATATTATATATTTGCATCTTTTTATTAAAGAAGAGGCAGAGCCCACAGCAGTCGGCTGCCCGGAGAGCAGAGAGTAGGGCTTTGCAATCTCACAGGTGTGTCTTTAAAGAATATTTTGTAAATGTTTGTTTCCTGAGGACGGAAGGAGAGGAGTTCTTGAGGAATGCAAAAGGGAGAAGGATCGCACGAAGTGAGGAGGGGGATAGGCCATCCGAACTCCCGTAATTCATTTTGCGGCACTTCTTCCCCTTGTGATTGTAATAACTCCTTAAAGCGTTGCAACGCACACACCCCACGAGTATTGCTGCTGCTGCTGCTGCTGCTGCTGCTGCTGCTCATGCTACTGCTTATAGTGTCTGCAGCGGGTGCAGGCGCCGCAGGAGCCGCTTCAGAAGCCATTGTTTTGGAGTTTGGTTTGTTTTGAATAATTTATTAAAGATAAACAGGGAAAGAAAAGAGAAGAAAAAAGACGCAGAACGGTGTGCAGACACCGGAGAGGCAAAACTCGCGGCTGCTAACGCCGCAAAAGGCCACAGGGGAGACAATCAGAAATATTTTTTCCTTCAACTCCTCTTCAGGCAGAACAAGTAGAGAAGCACTGGTATTGGCTGCAGGGGAGGAAGCCGGTTATGCCGAGGGGTGCTGCTGCTGCTGCTGCTGTTGTTGTTGCTGCTGCCGCTGCTGCTGCTGTTGCTGCTGCCGCTGCTGCTGTTGATGCTGTTTAGAAACACGCCGCGCTTCTCTCAAGGCCTAAAGGGCCCCCGTGCGCACTGTTGCAGTTTCTGCATTGGTGTGTGCACAATGAGGGATTTGTTCTCCTTGGGCAGGCATCAGAACATCAGCAGAGAGAAAAATCACAAGACGTGTATATAACACAGGATGCAAGTCGGCAACGCGGACAAATGCAAATAATAAAGGCGCCGCTCGTAGCACCTACAGTCGCTGAGTGTCCATACAGAGTAGAGGAAGAGGAGGGGCGAAGGGCGGTTTGCTGCTCTTGCTGTTGTTGCTGCTGTTGTTGTTGCTGCTGTTGCTGCTGGGTTTCAGGCCTCCACAAGCCTCTTTACAGCTACGACCGCAGTTGCAGAGGAGAGCGCGAAGAGGCAGGGAAATGTCATTTGAGTTGTGCAGTCCTGCTGTAGCGTCTCTATGAAGAGAGAACAGCAGCAAAAGAGCAACAGAAGAAGAAGCTCAGAATGAGAGTAGCAACGATGGTCAGACGCGGCTCCAGCAGCAGAAGATGAAGAGAACAAGAGAGGACGATTACAAACAAAGATTATTTTTCTCTGCAGCACGAAGCACAAGCAACAGCAGCTCAAGCTCCTGCTGCTGCTCTGGGGCTCCCAGCCACAGCCCCGGTGCTCCTCCCCATTGCTAGCTGCGAGTTTGCATCAGATATGGTGCAACACAAGGGAAAAGAAACAAAATGTATATAATGGGGTGAAGCTGCGTTAAAAACGCATGCAGAATTACCGGTAGGCGCGATGTGTATAGGCAGGTGCAACTAGCAAAATGTGTATGCCATCCTAGAAATTGAGGGAAAAGTCGGGTCTGGATACTGCAGAAAATATTCAAATAAGGTCAAAATAAGTTAGAACTTTAAATTAAAGGCTCTAAAGTGTCTTACTTTTTTACCCGGTGAGGCGTTTAGATCTACACTTCCCCATTTCAATCTTCTTAAGACCCACCTGCCACTATAGAGGCAGATGGTGAGAGATTGTAGGTAATAGAATTAGTTTATAGTCCCCAACGACTGTGAGTATATTGGGGCCTTAGCTCTATGGGTCTGATGCGTATGCGTTTCCGTATGTTGAATTGCAACCTGTGATGTAGAGGACAGCTTTTTTATGAAGTTACAGTACCACCCAACTACAGAAAAATTCTGGGCATTCAGTATGGACAGCGTTGGCCTGTATGTATGAGGATGCCGCAAGGATTCGTCAACTGCCAGGCGGCATTTATACGCGACTCATGCACCGACTCATGGCGTGCGACATCAGAATAACACTACGTGGATGAAGTCTTCGGGTTTGACGTGGATTCCAACGAACTAAGAAACCTGGTGAAAGACTGCGGGCTGAAGATGAAGCCTACGAAGACAAGAGACTCACTGTATAATACGCTGTCAGTTTTAGGGATCGGAGTGACGCATCGAATGGGGGTTTAGTGGGGGTTGTTGATAGGGTGTGCTTTAGGTGGGATGAGGAAACTGATAGGAATGAAAGCCAAAAGATGGTTGCGAATAGCCGGCTCATCACGCAAGCGTTGGCGAAAGGACACTACGATACAACTCCCCTAAGAATCAAAAACTTTCGGCGAGATGTTTACCGAAGGGGGTACTTGCAACACAGAGATGGAAGCCTTCCTTTTTTTGCCTGTTTTGGATAAACTAGTCGAGCACTGTTATCTCAATTCCAGGGAAGGGCTTTGTGCCACCACATATGCTAGGGCTACTTCAAAGTCACCCATACCTTCGTGGCTGGGTGTCTCTGACGCTAGAGTAGGCGAAACCGTCATTAAGGGTCTAAATTATTATCTTCTTTTTTCGGGTAGACACCGCGAAGAACCACGCAGATGCGTTTTCGCTGCAGTGAAACGTGAGTCGTCGGCTTTGGGACCGTGGTAAGGGGCAACACAGTTCAAATACATGGGATAAATGCCTGCTAAAGTAGCTGGAATTGCCAGCTAGTCTTCAGGCTTCCTAATATTAGCGTTCCAGGGACCTTCAGGGACCCTGCAGCAGAGGCAGAGGCATTTTTCATGGTTTGTCTTTGCTGGAAAGGCACCGTTGGCTGAATATGGTGCTGTTAGTTCGTTCCTTCCAACGGAGGAACGCGCCAAGCTGTAGGTAACCTGCTCGCCAGAAGGCATATTTTCACCAATTTCCAATACTCGATATGCACCCTCAGCTGAGGAATACGCCATCACTACTCCGTAATGCCAATGGCAAGAGTCGCAGAACACTGTCTAACCTGAATTTTGCATGGTCCTCTGGTTCCGTAATGGATCTGGGTAGAAATCTCAATAGGGTTCGTGGTGAAAGGCTGCAGTGGCAAATACGTCGTTGTGGATGAATCCAGCAAATATACCCACTTCACAAACTTCTAGAGCTCAGTTACAGTAGAGTGAGGAACCCAATAATTCGATTTTCACTTCTGCAAAATGTATGGTTGCGATCGGAAGTTCGTTAGCGCCTTCTCGCGCGAATAGCAGCACAAGTAAGCAGCAGCTGCAGATGCGCGTGGCCGGTCTCTGCCCTGCCATTTTCCCCATCCGTTTGTGGGCTCAGATCCCTCTCGCAACAGATCTAATCTCCTTATATCCATCCATCGTTGCTCATAAGGGCGTAGGGGGGCATATGCAGTTCGACGGGAGAGATGACGATAGATGCTGCATGGCCTCTCTGTAGTTCTTCCATGAGCTTCTACAAGCTCACAAGATGGGTACTAATGGCGGAGAAAGTCTTAAATAGTTCTGTCCTGTGCTCGTGCATGCATCAAAAAAAGGATTGGGTAGGCTTGCATGTGGTGTTGCCTTGCAGGACGAGTTGCAACAGTGCGCTGAGAAATGCCTGAGAAGTCGCTCCTCTCTGCATCAGCGTAAAGCCCCGCAGTGAATCTGCTCAGGGAGTCTGAATGTGCCCAGGGAGTCTGAAGACTGGGAAAAGGTGCCTGTTGCAATGAGAAACTCATCCAGAGACCGTTGTGACCTGCGTATAATAAGTGAATCACTATACACTAGCTTGACGAAGTAATATGTATACATGTATAAATCGCTATTCTTATGCAATCTGACTCTGTTCCAGGTCTCCATGGCCTCTGGATAAGGCTCTGAAGCCTCTTCGTTGTTAGAATTGCATGGTTATGTGGGCGGTCAGGTGCTGCTAGCCTACCCCTCCCCTCCCCTCCCCGCCCGCTACGTAGCGCCCTCCGAAGAGCAGATGTTTGGTTATTAGCAGCTCCCAGTACAATTTTCTTCCTTGCCCAGAGCGTTACAGAGAGGACACAGTTTCACATAAGTGTATATTAATTCACGTGTTAGAGGTGACTACCCTCACTGTGGTGAGCGACCATCGCGCGGAAAAGTTTAGTTTGTCTGTCTTTTGGCTCGTACGGGCGAAAGCGGGCCCTGCTCTTCATTATTAGCATCGGAAGCGTTCATTTATTGAGGAAGAACTGAAAAAATGAAATGGTGGATTTTCCAAAAGCAAAGCAACAAGCAGATCGCTCAATGGGGGGAGTTCGACTTCCGTCGTGGTTCGATGGCTTATTTGCTCGATCGCGTTCCAGACGGGCTGGGGACGCAACCAAGTGGACGCAGTTCCACTCTTGATATTTTTGCTTATTTAGAAGCGGGAAATCCCCTTTAGGTGGTATATTTATTATGTACGATTGTTTTTAAACTGCCTTCGCTGCGTCGGTGGCCGTGGGCCTTTTTCCTTCGCCGCCTTTTATGGGCGGCGCTGCTTACGTACTTAATTTGACAATCATTCTCTCTACTTTTATTCATTTTTTAATGCTTCTCTGTTGCCGAGCATTTTTAGACCTGCTCCGTAGCTTCCTGGCGAGAGCAGCCACAGTTAAGCCGATCTGGCAAAGCTTCCTTGCTGAAAACTTTCGGCATTGGAGTCGTTCTTCTGTCCGTTGTGAACAAAGGCGAGGAAGCTTGTGCTTTTGAAACTACACAAAAGCATTTTTTTGAGGGTATACAGCCAAGGAACCTCTGCGGGCCTCACCCACCTCCCCCGTTTCTCGGCGCCACGCAGAATCGATCCACATGCAGCTTTAGGGCAACGGCTGCTTTATAAGGATTTAACACCATTCAAATCCCTAGTAGACGCATCGCTGAACAGGCCACTTCTCAGGAGTGCTGCAAATCCACATATAGTGCGTTCATCACTTGTAGCTGCATTACTCTTTATTCATGTGGACGCACGGACACTTCTTGCGGCGTTCGTAAGGGCATTTTGGAAATGGACAACCTACAGCGAGAGTATATTCAGAGGCATTCAGGAGATCCCACGATCGCCGAGGCGGGAGAGGACACAGAGGGGGCAGACGGTTCGAGCGGTGAAGAGGATTTCGGAGTATTCACTGAGTACGAGTTCGACTCTAACGATGCGGTGCCCATTTCTGAGACGCATCGTAGCCGCCGCAAGTGGAGTCTGTTGACATTTGCATCCATTGCCTTTCCTACTATTTTGCTATTTGGCTGTCTCATGTACGCGAGCGTCAAGGCGCAGCAAAAAAAACCGACATGGGCAGACTTGGTGAAACCCCACCCTTCAACTCATCCTGATGCTGGTGGTACTCCCTCTATTGAACCTCCTTGGAAAGCGCCTCCTGTTGATTCTGAAGAGGAAAGGACCTCTCCGAATGCACAAATCGTGCGGGGTGTATTGTGGGAAGTTGTGAATCAGCTGGAAGAAGATGACCCCGCTGTTCCTTCACAAGAGGCGAGCAGGGTCATGAAAACTGTAGCAGAAACGATTTCACGTGGTCAGTCTAGCCAACTAATCGGAATGACCATCCAGCTAACCAAAATCACAGAAGTAGGGAGCGGGAAACCCCTGCCAGGGCCAAGGGCTCACCTGGTGACGAAGTTCATCGGTGAAGGACAATCCAGCATCCTGTTGTGTGTGCAAGATGTAAAAACAAGGGAGGAGTCGGCATTGCGGATCAATTTGCTGCCCGCTAATGAACAATCCTCAATTCTGGCCACAGGCGAGAGGAATATCTCCTCTCAAATGGTACGGACAGCTCAAGCGATCATGGCAGTCCGAGGCGACACTCCTGCTGCTGCTGTAGCAAAGGAGAAAGGCATAGCAGCGATAACTTCTGTTGCTAAGATCAAAGGCATGCCGGATGTGCTGCATACTCAGCACTTCACCGTCCTGTCCACCGTCGAAAAGATGGAAAATATTCAAGTGACCTTGAGAGATGTGTTGGACGTCTTAGACTGGGTGCCCACAGGCACGAGGGCTTTTTTGGCCCGCCACGTCTTAAAGACTGTTCTGCATTTGCAGTGGGCTGGGTGGAGCAACAACCAGATCAACAGCAGCAGCTTTGGGGTGCAGGACGACGGTTCAGTGTTGTTGTTTGGATTTGAGTCGAGCGTGCCTTTTGGCTCTGTCATTCCCGCAGACGCAGATGTGTCTGCGGTGTACACAGAGCCTGAGCTGCTGGCCAGCATCGTATGCGAGGAGAGCTGTGAATTTCAACCAATTGCAAACCCCAAGGCCGACCTGTGGAGTCTGGGGGTTCTTCTGTATGAGATACTGATGGATGGGGAACTGCCTTTTGGCCTCTCTTCTCTGCCTCCTGATGAAGAAACAGTGGCTTACGTGGTGCAGCTGGGCGCCCACGCCTCTCCCGAGAGCTTAACTGTAGATATGGAATACAGGGGCATACACAAGAGGTGGCAGTCGCTGATCGTACGGCTGCTAAATCCCGACAGGGAAAAACGAATCTCAGCAGAAGAAATCGTTAAGGATTTTTCCGACCTGCTAAACGGCCTTCCTGAACAGCAAGTGCTTGATGACACAACTTTCCTGGACCTCTTCCTTCAAGAAAACCCTAACTTCTTTCGCGAGCAAGCCGAAATGCCCAATGTTAAACGAGGACTCATGGGGGAGCAACGCCCTTCGTCCCCTGACGAACGTCAGGAGAGAGAGGATGTTGCTGGTGCTGCATCTGGTGCTGCTCCTGCTACGCCTGCTTCTCCTACTGGTGCAGAACCTAGACCCACACGACCGCAAGAGCTCCCTCTGCAAGCCCCAAAAACCGATGAGCCTGTCAGGTCGACCGTAAGAACAGAAGGTCCTTATGGGCCAGTCACAACTACAGAGACGGCATCTAGGCAAGCCGAAAGCCCAGGAGAGGCTTATGGGCCAACCTCAAGAACAGAAGGGCTGTACCGGCCACTCTCGAGACCAGAAGGCGCTTCTGGGCCAGGTGCACTACCAGGAGAGGCACATACGCAAATCCCAATGCAAATCCCAGCACCAGAAAAGGCTTTCGGACCAACCCCAAGACTGGCCGGACTTTACCGGCCAGTCTCGAAACCAGAAGACTCTCCTCGTCCAGTCGCACGACCAGGAGCAGCATCTGGGCCAACCCCAGCCGCAGAAGAAGCTCACGGGCCAGTCACAAGAATACGAGACCCTTCCATGTCAACCGGAAGAACAGGAGAGACTGCTATGCTGGTTACCCAGCAGGTGGCGGAATCCTCTCGGCGGGAGGAGCAGCAGCAGGGGGCACCGACAACGACAGAGGTAGGTGTCGGAGAAGCAGACGAAGGGGAGGAGAATCAAGCCGGGAGTACAATAAACGAGGACAAAGAAGAGAAACAGGAGAACGGGGAACAGGAACAGATTAGGGTGGGGATCGCTGGCACGTCTACAGTAAGCCCATTTGTCGGCTTTGGCTCTTATATTGAGGAACCGAGAGATTGGGGATTCCCAGGAAGATCCTCAGGTGCAGAACCAAGAAACACTGGAACAATAGGCAGCAGCGCAGCGCCAACCAGCTCCACTCCACGAAGCAGCATCCGTACACCATGGTCTCCAGCGACTAGACTTCCACAGAGTGGGCAAGGCGAGCGGCATCGTCTTAGTGACTTTCTGAAAAAAACCCAACCCGCACCTGGTAGGCCCTCTTCTTCAGCAGCAACACCCTCACCCGCCTCTCTCCCCGATTTTTTCCCCCCCATTTTCGTCACGACACCTCAGCCGGCCACCTCAAGATTCTGGAATCCCGAGTTGGTGGGTGCGGGTGCGATGAAGACAACAACAACAACAACAACAGCAACGCCGTTGATGCGGCATTAGGGGAAATAAAGCCCGAAGTGGTTAGCTAGTTACCTAGCTAGCTAGGTAGCCAGACAGTATCGGAGAGGGAGAGGAATGTAGCTCATCGGGGGACTCTCTTGGAGCTCCTGATGTTGCGTGCTTTCTTCTGCGTCTGAAGGATTGTTGCAATTCATTGATCATAGGAGGGCTTGGAAGAAAGTCTTCGTTTTTCTGTCGCCCAGTCTACAGTGGGATTTGGGGGTTGAGGGGTTTTATGGGGTTGATTGGTGCACCAGGTTTATTGGAGCACGCACTTTTTTCTCTTAGCTCGCTCCACTTTGGTAAGCTCCTGCAGGTTATGTCTCATTGCAGAGCTCTAATATGCCTCTGCTGCTTTTGCTGCATTGTTGCTGTGCTGTTGTGATGCGGCCAGTGGCGTGCAGTCGTATGTACGCGATGAGAGTAAGAGGTGAATAGGGGCTTTGCAACGGACTTACTACTTCTGCATGCGCGTCTAGTTTTATACTACTTGTCGAAATACGTACAGCAAGCAAGCAGCTCATTTTATCGCGTGTACACCACTTAAATGTGTTGTTTACCACGTGTTAGGTTGCGCCGAGTTAGTAATTGGACGAGGGTGAGGTTGTGGCGCATTCACTCTGTCTATGCACATGAGCTCTGCCGGCAATACTGGGAACAGTTCTTTGAAGTTCATCTGTATCCAGACATTTGCCTTTTATTTACTATTTTAATGCTGATTGGAAACTCAGTTTGACTGCGCTGCATTAGTATTTCTAGAAGTTTTGTGCTGCTTTGTTGCTGTTGCTGTAGCTTTCGGTCCCGTAGGTGGTGGCCCACTTTGCTTAATAGGTCTTGCCGCCTTTACATTTACGGTTTTGGCACTTCGGTTCTAGAGTTGGAGATAGATGTTATTTATTCAGAAAAGAACTGCGCATGAAAAGGGAAATTTTTTGCAGTACACTGGGTGACATTTCTTTGCAGTGTGGGCGCCGCAATAGTCGTGACTTTGTAGCCAAGTGTCAACTGTACGTACTAGTAATTTTTGTACTAGATGTACTTTTTAATGGCTCTACATATATATATATATATATATATATATAACTTAGCAACGAGCAACACAGGAGAACAAACAGATCTACTTTGAGCAGGAGGTCTGTTGCAGAAAGACCAGGAACAAATCCTAGCGGAAGCAGCATCACCGTCAACCAAAAACAGTTGTCTGTGTTGCACATATTGGCAATGAAAAGTCGGTGCATCGACATCTACAATACTCTTTGATTACCAATTAGTGGTTCGTGCATTTATGCAGAGGTATGGAGCAAACTGCGTGCAGAAAGAATATAAGAGGAACATCTAGCGGTTGTTTTTTTGTCAGCAATCCGCGGGAGTGTTGACGGCACTTTTGTACTTCAGACAGCTGCAACTGAGCATTTATCGTCGAAGAGTTTAGGGTTATAAGCGTAAGGGAGTTTTATACATTAAACATCCCATAAAAATGTGCTTCTTGCCAGCGCACGTGAATCCTCCACTCATCTTCTCAAGCGTTTTTGATAATCCTAAGTGAGTTTCACACTCTTGATTTTGGGTTTACTCTTGATTTTGGATTTGTGGGTGCAATACGCGGTAGACTCAACAGATGCGCAGAGAGGCCCCTCTCGGCCCCAACTAATCCCGGTGGGGCTGCCCAAAGGAACTGAATAAGGATGATTCAAGCAAGCCCAGCAGATGGAATTCACTGTCTGTGCGCCTTCGTCGACGCCTCGCTCTCTTAGCGGTACTAGAAGCAAGCGAATACATGTCTATGCCCATATGATGAAAACTTAGTCGAGTCAATGCAGTTATCTGGACACTTATATAAAGGCAGACGCATATTTGCAAATGTATGTATGCATGTGTATATGGGAATAAATGTACATGCATATGAATTGTGCAGGCGCACAGTCAGATGTACAGCTAGACGGCCTCTACAGGTTAAGTACCGACGCAGGAAACGGAATGAAATGAAGTGACGAAGGCAAATCAGTTGCAGTTTGCACGCCTGAATCAGTGGTTTCATATTGTATATATATAAAAAATAATGCAATGCATGCTATGCAAAAGAAAGCCGAAGAAATGACTGAAGTGGGGTTCGAACCCACGCCCTTTCGGACTGCGGCCTAAACGCAGCGCCTTAGACCACTCGGCCATTCAGCCACCCGCTATGGCGAAACTGGTTGCCGTTAACGTGTAGTAGTCACTACTATATTTTTTTTCATCTTCATTTTCATCTTTTTTGATTAAAAATACTCATTTAATGTGTTTTCTCTGGAAAATTGCGTTTGTACTGCTTAGGCCACCCGTAGGGGATCTGCATGCGCAGCGCAGCCGCTGTAGCAGCAAATGCAGCGGGCGTATACCCCTTCTTCTCAGTCACTAAACAGCTATTCAAACTTTATTTTGTTTACGTTATTGCTGCATTTTTGTTATTTTACTCATTTCAACAGACTAGTCTACAATCCGGGAACAAAGAAGCCGCCTTGAATGTGATTATTCAGCCGCAGTTCCGCAACAGGTTGCCGCACTTCTCGCTATGCATGCTTGTCTTGAAGGAATTCCCTTTTTCTTACTTCAACTTTCTTCCCCGGAACGCTTGAATGGCTTTATGCAACTGTGAGCGGTGTGTCACTGGGTTTATATGAACTAATTGCTGCACGCGACAGACCGACAGACAAAATGATGGCTGATGGCGCCTCGGAAGAGGAAAGCGCCGCTGGAGGTGAAGATTTGTTGATGGAGATTTCAAATATTCTGAATACAGGACTTGATAGAGCCTCTCTTTCGATTTTGGTAGAGATGCTGCAACAAGGCGTTCACCCAGAAGCCCTCGCACGAGTCGTCTTGGAGCTGGATAAAGCCCTAATGGATGTTAAAAAGAAAGAAGAAACAAAAGCCCTAGCACTGCAGATGCCCCAGACACATAGGGAGCCCTAAGTCCCACGTCGTGTCTAGCTGAAGGCGGCCCCCGATGGGCTCGCTCCCTTCAGCTCGCAACTTGTTTGCTTTAGTGACTTCCCGTTGTTCCATATATTGACTACCTTCAGTGCAAAAGGAGAGCACTCCCTGCGTTTGCCGGGCTTATCTGGCTGCAGTAAGGAAGCGCCTGGCGCATTTCCAGCAAAGATAAGCCACGGCTAGTACATAAGAAACCAGCCGAAATCGGAGGAGCAACTCTTTAATCGCAACTTTTTGTAGCGGTTAGAGTGCTGTTCATGCAAGGTATTCTTCTTGTTGCGTGATTAACTGTGCATTATTAGCTCCGCTAGATGACAAACAGTAAATTGGCCGCCAGTCTTGCTACGCAAATTATTTCTGCATCAGCTGAGGTTTGTTTAGCCAAAAAGGCGAAACCTTTCAGTGGTGCGAGCGATAGATATACCACTTGGGTGATATTCCACCGTTCGCAACCCTCCCCCTCTTTGTGTTCCCTACATAATAATCGATATAAATATTTATTTTCACCCGCTGCGCATTTCCACGTGCATCCCTCGACAGTTTGGCTGGCCAGGCGACGTATGATTAGTAAATATCTATACATGAACTTGCTGATGCAATATATGTGAAAGGGGTGGTTGGTGGTGGGGCTAGTTTGAATATAAGCCCAGTCAGTGCCGAGAAACTGACTATTGACAAACCACAACTAAAGCATCCCTGAAGACAAGAGGAAAAAGATAGTCAATATCGCGTTTTTTACGCGGCGCCCTCTGCGTCCATAGCACCTTCTTCTTCATCGAACTCTCCTTCCTCCTCGGCGGTGGCGTCCTGAAAAAAGAGACAGTAAGCGCAAAATGCCGCGATAAAGGTCCTTTTAATTGTACCAATGCATAATGAAACAATTACTGAGGAGATTACGCACCTGGTACTGCTGATATTCAGAAACTAGATCGTTCATGTTGGACTCGGCTTCGGTGAACTCCATTTCGTCCATACCCTCACCGGTGTACCTGTAGGCCCAGTAAGACGGGACGAAATTAGACATTCATGCTCTATTGCTGCACTCGTTTTACCAAATCCCCCAAAATGCATAAAATACTGCTTAGCCGGACCGAAGAAAGGGAGGGCAGCGGTGCAGCTCTCACCAGTGAAGGAAGGCTTTGCGGCGGAACATGGCCGTGAATTGGTCGGAAACGCGCTTGAACATTTCCTGAATGGCGGTGGAGTTTCCTACGAAGGTGACGGACATCTTCAGTCCCTTTGGTGGAATATCGCATACACCGGACTTCATGTTGTTCGGAATCCACTCAACGAAGTACGAGGAGTTCTTGTTCTGCACATTGAGCATCTGCTCATCTACCTCCTTGGTGCTCATGCGGCCGCGGAAGAGAGCACAAGCCGTGAGGTAACGGCCGTGTCGGGGGTCGGAGGCGCACATCATATTTTTTGCGTCGAACATTTGTTGCGTCAACTCGGGGACGGTAAGCGCACGGTACTGCTGCGAGCCGCGGCTGGTCAACGGAGCGAAGCCAATCAAGAAGAAATGCAGACGCGGGAAGGGAACCAAGTTCACCGCCAGTTTCCTGAGGTCCGAGTTCAGCTGGCCAGGGAAACGTAGCGAGCAGGTAACGCCCGACATGGCTGCACTCACGAGGTGGTTGAGGTCGCCATAGGTGGGGGTGGTGAGCTTGAGGGTGCGGAAGCAGATATCATAGAGCGCCTCGTTGTCAATAACCTGCACTTCGTCTGCGTTCTCTACCAACTGATGCACAGAGAGCGTGGCATTGTACGGCTCAACCACAGTGTCCGACACCTTTGGGGAGGGGAACACCGAGAAAGTCTCCATAATCCTGTCGGGGTACTCCTCACGGACTTTGCTGATAAGCAGCGTACCCATTCCACTTCCTGTGCCTCCTCCGAGCGAGTGCGTAACCTGGAAGCCCTGTAGGCAGTCGCATCCTTCTGCTTCCTTGCGCACGACATCGAGAACAGAATCAATCAACTCCGCGCCCTCCGTGTAGTGCCCCTTGGCCCAGTTATTGCCCGCACCTGTCTGCCCGAAGACAAAATTGTCAGGGCGGAACAGCTGCCCGAAAGGACCCGATCGGACCGAGTCCATCGTTCCGGGCTCCAAGTCCATGAGGACCGCGCGCGGCACGTAGCGCCCTCCGGTTGCTTCATTGTAGAACACGGAAATGCGCTCCAGTTGCAGGTCACTGTCCCCCTTGTACGTTCCGGTCTGCAAAAGCCAACAGGCACATATACACATGCGTAGATACAAATATACTCATACGTATACAACGGGATGCTTCCGCGCCGCTAGACGTACATTATGTAGCCAAATGTGCAGATTAATGGCTGGACGCGCAAGTTTATGGCACAGATGCACGTACTTCTAACCACGAATAAATTACATTGAGACAACCACACAACTCAGTAAAAGAATTTATTCAAAAATATTTATGAACCGTCAACGAGATGCGATGCAACGAAGGCGGCCCCAGTGGCCTGCTGCTGAGGGCGAGGCAAGCGGTCACAGACTGACGGGTTGAATAGGCACAGAGAAGGCTCGACATGAAGTGATAGTGTGAGAAATTAAAAAGTATTTTAGATGCCGATGTGAATTAAGGCGAGGCAATGCGTTTTATTCGTGAACGCAGCAGCCGATGGCTGTGCGCACGGGACACGCAGGCGGCTGGACCCGCTACTGCACCCTTGCAGAGAGAGAAAAAGTGGCTCTCGAAGCTGCACAGAATTGCATTTGGCCAGCTTCTGATGAGTGCTTTAGAAATCTGCATGTGCACCGACGCAAACCGAAGCAAAACGCAGAAAAATGCGGGGCTCCTCACCGGGGCTATGCCGTGTTCATCCGAAATAACCTCCCAGAACTTGGCGCCAATCTGGTTGCCGCATTGGCCACCCTGAACGTGAACAATTTCTCTCATTTTCGCGAAAGAAAGAAGTGACAGGGAAAGGCAACTGCACGCAAAGGCGGCGACGGGTCAGCGCCCTGCTGCAGGCAAGAAGGGGCACCAGACACAGCAGGCGCACGCAACTGTGCCGATTCCTGCCTCGACAGAACAATCTTTCGGGCAAATTGAGTAAACGAAAACCAAAGAAGAGAACCTTTCGCCTTTGAGAATCAAGGCAACGGAGGCTTGCGCAACGGAGGGAGCATTTCAGGGGTTGTGGCGGTGGTGGTGCTGGGTGGCTGCTGACGGCCGCACGCGCAGCTCTGCTTACCAACAGGACCCCTTCTCAGTCCCTGTAATTAGATCAAGTTTTCAATTCTAGTTTGTCTTTGACTCTACTTGACACAATACACTGATTTTCGAAGAACGGGGGTTTAATTAAACCCAATTACTTCCTCTACAAGGGCCCCATCACCCGGCCGCGTAGCCGGCGTTGTGAGCTGCTGCCTCTGCTCTATGCCGAGAAAGGTTAGTTTCTGTCGGCATCTCGCCCAAATAGAAGAACTTATAAAATATGTTTGACTTTATTCAGCCTCAGACCCTCAGCCTGCAAAAGCTTTCAGAAGGTTTAAGCTGCATTATATCAAACCCGGGCTTGGCTGCTGTTGGGCAGGGTGAGTGTGAGGGAGGTGCTGTGGCTGATCCTTTGCATGGTGTCATTATTTCAAAATACCTATTTAAAATTCCTTTTTAACTTTTATCTGCCGCAAATCTCGGAAACTGTCGTTTGGTAGCAATTGCAAAGCACACAGTCGGGTCTTCTAGCGTGCCTAAAACAATGATTATGGGAGGCTCCACTTGCCTTCTATACGGCTCAGCTTCCTCCTTCAAAACTCAGTTTCACAGTTCTTATTCTTTTCATTGTCGGTTTCAACGCCTGATTCGATCACCTTACAAAGCGCTGGCTATCGCTGGCTTTTGTGTTCACGTTTCTCCTCTGGGCAGCAACAATAACGGCAGCCCTCAGTCGTGGCCCTCGAGGAAAAATTGTAGTTTTCTTCGTCTTCTATAGGCCGCCTCTCGTTCCTACATTCAGAAGTTTTATTCGGGCATTTTAAAAAAATAATTTAGCCCATTTTGCCCCCTAGTTCGCGTGCTTGTTGAAACCTCTCCTTCAGTTCCCAACATCTCAGTTTTAGTTCCGATAGTTGTTAGTTCCCTCCCTAAAACTACCCGGTGACAGTGTAGAAAATTCTGTTTGTTTGAAGTTGCAAAAATGCTGGGGTGTACCTTTGTATGTGGCCTTCCTCAGTGGTGCTGTGGTGAACTGCTAGTTCAGCGATATGTTCTAGTGTGTAAAGTCGCTTGAACACCTTTTACGCTGCACGGAAGGCACGAGGCCTTTCTTGCCAGCAATCTTGGAGAATGCGGTTGTGCGGAAGCATTCGACTCCCGAGTGCTGCAAGTGCGGTGGAAGCTTGCTTTCATGGGTTTAGGGTTTCACGGTCTTAGGTTGTAGTTGTTCAGGGTTTAGGGGTAGTTGAATCGAAGCGCAGATACAGGCTCTCAAGGCTTTTGAATTGCTGGAAAGGTGAGAGTGCCAGCACTTGAGATAATAATAAATGTCCTGGTTTGCAGCTGGGTCTAACCAAGGGGGCGGCTTCATCTTCCATATAAGTAGCAATACTTTGCCATATTGTAATAAGGGCCGTATGCTACCCCCTTATGCAGTTCAGATAAGCAGGTCGATACTCGCTCTTCGTCATAGAGTATATGGTCGCTTCACCAGCAGCAAAAGGTCTCAGGAACAGCGGCTTTTGCTGGAGTCTGCGCCTGCCTTTGGGACTGAGATTTCAAGGCCGCGGTGGAGGAGAATTAAAGTGCTGCCAAAACCCTCGGTATTTTCTTCGTCATGAGCGTACAATACAAATGCACGGATCATTCAGCAGGATACAACGGGTTAGGGTTTTACAGCCTCAGTGCTGCACACACAAATCTTTAGGGGCCGCAGGGCCCTTCTCACTTCATGTTTTGACTTTTAGGCGCAGAAAAAGGCAATCCGTCATACTTACCGTTCCCGCTCACGGGTACGGGCAACCGAGTAGTGGTGGTGCTGATATTACAGATCAGTTAACTCATACGTACGAACGCTTGAATCTAGGCACCCACCTAGAAAGCTGGCTAGCCGGACAGCTAGTGTCAGTCTTAGCTACTTGAGATGGACTCTACCAGGACAAGCTCTACTTGCTGCACATCTGTGGGTTCCATTTCTTTCTATGGTTCCGCAAGGACGAAGCTTGCAACGTAGGAGTGCTAAGTAAGGCAAAGTATATTTCTTGCGTCGGCTGGTGTTGATGCGCAGGTGTTTTTCTGACGTCTGAGCGTGCTAGTTTTGTCTTCCGTGGACAAATACCCAGCTAGAACGCTTTATTTGCCCCTGGCATCTGCAATTTTGCAAAGCCAGATATTCCCCTGCCGCTCTGCAGTATTTGCTTTCGAGGGAACGCATGTCAGTGCGATTGGCCATCACATGTTGGGCATATGATGGCCAATCGCACTCATTTCGTGGAGAACTCTGTCTTAAGCAACTCAGCATATTGCTTGATTAAAAGCGACAAATGCGCATATTCCGTTTGTGTGGAGTTGAAAACCCGCGGAAGCATGCTTTGCACGAGGGAACTACTCAAGCCGCTCAAAGTCTGGTCTGGGGACCAGCGCTTTTCTGCCCCTACAGACAATACGCACGTAATTATCTTTCAGTTTTACAGTAAAATATAATAAGTTCTGTTAGACCCATTGTCTGGTGATCTCTAGGACCTTTTATACCAACTGCCTCAAGATCGTTAGATTATCTTGAGCCAACTCACTGCCCTATGAACTTGAGACCCACCGCTTTGCGAGCGAACGATTCGGTAACACCCAACGTATTAGTTTGAGATTCATGTAAACCCGCATTATATATTTTAAAAAGAATATTTTTTTGCATGTGCAAAATCCCGAAAGTAGGGGGAACGATCGTGCTCCGCCAGGAGAAACTAGCAAAGCCAAAAATAATGCACGATGTGCGAGGGCAGTCCACCGATAATAGAACGGAATGCATGGACTGATAATAATTGTCAATGAATTGTAATTCATGATAGTTGTACTTTTCATGTTTTTTATGACTATTCTCCAGAAGAGCTGTTATTTGCCTGGTTTCGTCTAGGATATGTTGATGTAGACAGCCAATCAATCGGCTTGCGGAGCAGCTGCATTAATACACCACCCATGAACCTCCTCGCACAGTTGCGTGGCTTCTTGCACTCGCCAAAGTTTACATTTCCCCTTTAATTGCTTCTTTTGGTGTAAAAACGGCTTTCTACTCGCTGAAAGGTTGAGACGACGCAAAGCCGTGCAGCTTTTGTCTGTCTTGTTGTCCATTCGATCCTTTCGCCCGTCTGCTCTGCATTCCCCACAACTCTCACATTTTTAAACTTTCCTTCATTTTCATGCAGTGTCGTGTGCAAACTAGGTGAAAACCATGCACTTAATTCGATTGATTCATCGGTTCTGCTCAGTACTCCCGCTCTAGACCATCTTAGCGGCACTCTCCTCGGCACTCCTATGCCTTACACGCGGAACTTCCTCTGTGCTGCTTCTTTGACCAGAAGTCTACGTTTTCTGAAGGAAATCATTAAGATGAGGTATTGGCTGGCCTTTGCAGCGGTCTGTATAGCGGGAGGGGTCCTGCCTTGTGGGTTCGGTTTTGATTCGTTTGCAGCAGCAGCTGAAGGCCCTTCCGTTGCCGTTTATGACCAGGATGCTGATTCAGACGTCTCCATTTTTGCTGAACCCTCAGCAGATCTACAATGGCAGACTGAAGGCACAGTGACCGTGAGCAGTAATGAGGGCGGCGGCGCAGCAGCAGCGGAGACCGCTTGCCGACCGACACGAGAGAAGCATAAGGAGGACCAGGGGCAGATTGAAGCAGCACCAACAGCAGCCCCTTCAGTACCTGGTGCAACAGCAACTGCAGAGTCACCAGCTGCAGAAACACCATCAGCAGAAGTAGCGGCAGAAGTAGCAGCTGCAGAAGTAGAAGCTACAGAAGTAGCAGCTGCAGAAGCAGAAGCTACAGAAGTAGCAGCTGCAGAAGCAGCAGCTGCAGAAGCAGCAGCTGCAGAAGCAGCAGCTGCAGAAGCAGCAGCTCCAGAAGCAGCAGCTCCAGAAGCAGCAGCTCGAGAAGCAGCAGCTCCAGAAGCAGCAGCTGCAGAAGCAGCAGCTCCAGCACCTGCTGCTGCTGCGGCAGGTTCTGGTGCTCGCATGAAACAGGAGCAGGTGGGGGACGATTTGCACAGCGTCGTAAGGGATCATTCCGGTTCGAACAGCGGCATGAAGAAATCTGGTTCTCGGCAAAGAGGTTTGGGGGGTAATTCTTCAAGGTTAAGAAGTGGAGGCGGCGTCTTCGAAGGGGGAGGGGATGGGCAGAGTCTGTTGCTGTTGGAACGAGACCCCTTGTCTCCGTTCTTGTCGCTGCCGAAAGCTCCTCGGATGGTGGGCTCAAAGTCCTTCATCTTTGGCTTAGGATTGCTGTTTCTTGCAGCATGGATTGGCTTAGAGGGAGATGATACTGTGGTTCTAGGCCCTGCTCATTTTTTGACCGGTGTAGGAGACTTGGACCGGGAAGACATATCCGCAATTTGCTCGACCTTGTTGGCGTTCTTGGGTACTGTTTCTCTTTTTTCCGCAGTGTACAGACATCTCAAAAGGGTTAGACAGCAACGCGAGTGGATTCGAAAAGCAGAAGAAGGGATCGACGCAGCCAGAAAACTTCATGAAAGCAGGCTAAAAAAGCGCTTGGCACGGGAACAGGCAGCCGGAGTGGTAGCCACCGACGTAGGCAAACCTGGTTAGGTTTATTCTGCTGTAAAGATGCTATGACTGCGTGCAATATGTTTTTGTGTTTGTGTTTAACTTTTTGGCATATGTAGTGAATGCATCAAATATTGACGTATTGTTTCGGGGTGTCTGAGGCGGGACGGCAGGTGAGAGAAACAAACCGAGAGTAAATAAGCGAAAACGCAGGGAGCTAAATAGGGCAGGGGATGCCTTACCAAATTTACGTTGTGCACGTATTGAGCGTATGTGTAATTATATAGAACGTATACTTGCATATACATATAAATATATATATTATATGTGTACTGAAGAAGCGCCTGGCACTTAAATGCAAAGGGAATTCCACAGCAGTTCCTTTTTAGCACTTGCTCAGGTTCAGAGGCAGCAGAGGGCAGAGCAGCGCAACAGGACGGCTTCAGAAGCAAAACAGAACTGGTTTGGGCGTAGGAAGTTGGATTGTATTTTTAAATGGACTTGATCGAAAAGGCCACGCAGACTGCGTGAGTCGAGGCAAAACAATACTGGGAGCCACATCACAATAATGAGAAACTGTATATATATATATATATATATGTATTTGTATATGCATCAAATTCGCCGGTATTTGCATATCTGCATATAGATTAGATGTCTGCATTCCCCATCTTTTTTGGGGTTTTGCAGGACATGAAGAATAATAAGGAACGGAGCTAGATGTTATAACTGTGGTGGGCGAGAGTTCGTGTCGTGAAATACGCCGAAAGGTTCACACAATATGGGCTAGGTAAACACTGTCTTAGCTGCATAGAAACCAAGCAAGCTCACACTCTATGTATGCACATACACAGTCGACCTTCATAGCATAGCTGCACTCTATATCTTTACGGACCACTTGCATAGGTTCACCATTTACGAGGGGACAGAAGCTATGTATCAGGTTTAAGAGGTGTGTAGTGTGTTCACTGGCGTACTACTGACAGTACGATACTGCGCACTAGCGAAGGGTGTTTTACTTGTACTAGAGTGCGTGACGGTAACTCTGGGGAGCATGTGGTGACGGTGTCTGCGTGTGTTCGTCCGTCCCAGAAGCTGAGCTCTTCTGTCTGTTGCAGAGGTGGTTTTGCTATTTGTTTTGAAGGCTGAATGATGAGTACTCATCGAACGAGGTGGAGCAATGCGGGGCCGTAGGTGGTTGTGTGACTCTGGGGGGCAACTGAGGGCGGCGAATATTTTGTTTTTTTGGAAATGTGCTGGATATATGTTAATTTCTTTTCTCTTTCGATTTGCTGGGTTTAGTTGGTGTTGTGATAGCTGTTTTTTAACGCTGACCGCTCGCTGCACGCGTGCTGAGCTGCACGAACAGCTTGTGCTGCAGGGGCGCAAAGAAATTCGTTCAACGCACATAATATTGAACTAATAAAGAAGGTGGCTCCAAATTTGAACAGTCCAAAATGCCTGGAATTGGATGTGGGCGATTTTCTTCTTGCTACATACCCCGGCAATCAAGCCAGTTAACCCCTCCACCGCCCACCAGTAGTTGATCGCCCTCTGGATCTCTAAGCCCACGTCGCTTGACTGTATAGTTTCAACTAAATAGTGAGAATATGTCTTGTGAGTGCTACAGTAGCAAATGATAAGCAGTGCTGATGGGGCAGTGGGTAACTCTCTGCGCCGCTGTACGTCGACGGCGCCCTGTACACACGAGCAGCGATATTGAAACATCTTTCTCTATAGATGAGTGTAACCGTGCGCTAGTCAGCTAACCTGAGGCTTAGAGGGCCAGTTAAATACTATATGCTCAGCAGTTCACTTCTCTCTGTGTCGAAAGCTCCTCTCCTGACCGCTTTTCGGGGCTCAAGGGTCGAAGTTTCTCACCGTATGGAGTTCTTCTGTTGCAACTGCAACGCACGCGTGCCTTTGCTGGTCATCTGATAGACTTTCTTGCTTCACAATGGACCCAATGCCTCTCGCGAACCTCGGACAACGACGGGAAGCGACCACACGGCGATCCTCCAACTTCACGGCTGGTGACTGGTGGATACTCGGGTCTACCAACTACGCTATAGTCGGTAAGCGATTGTTTCTGACTAAGCAAACCCTGATTTTTGTGCTGTTGGCTCCAGGCTATAGAGCAGCAGACTGTACCAGTGCGTCTGAGCACAGGAAGCAATTTTTCTATTCATTTCTCTATTTCAACAGATGGCTAATATAACGTTATGCTCGTCCGCGTGTACAACTGGACAGGTGTGTAAAAGTAATTGTGCAATATACAACGGGGGCGTTATATGTACGAGGGCGCTTCACAGTTATTTGCTGTCTCCCAGTGTTGTTCTGTTCGCATGCACAGACCCGGGAAAGCCGCGGGCTTCCAGCGATCTCGTACAGCGGTTTGATAGGCCGAAGCAGCTCACAGATGACTTGCACGAGGCAGTGTGGTTCTCCACCAGACCCAGATCCAAAACGATCGGCTTCCTTGAACGGGGGGGAATTGGCAGCCTCCGCAGTTCGCAGCATGAGATTGCGGGAGTGACAGGCGATTGCGAGCCACGAGCATTGCAAAATAACTACAGGTACAGAAGGGCTTCAGTTGCAGACTCGACAAACTGCACGGAGAACAACTTTTGGTCAGTGACCAGTGATCACCCAACGGTTTCTCGGGGGCGAAGTGCCTTCATCAGGGTCCCTGCTACTAAAGGTTCGCTTTGTGTCCCAGGCAGCTCTTCAACCACTGTGAAGTACCATGCCAAGCTGCCTTCCTTTCGAGCCATCGTGCGGCATCTGCAAGAGGACTCTCAGCGCCGTCGCCTCAGCGAACTCAGTGCGGAGGGGCAGAGCACTGAAAGAGTGCCCAGCATGCTTTTTGCATCTTCAGATACTATGACCACTTGGGCAAGGACCCCTAGCTCAGGAGTGAAGGATGAGTTGAACGCTAGAAGGGGGACACGAAGCGTCGGATTTGACACCTCCGACAGCATTGCACGATCGACAGATTCCTTATACCACAAGTTGGCAAGAGAAAGGTTCAAGAGAAGCTTCACGCGCCTAGCCACCCGATTGAACACTTCAGTTCCCTGCGGACAGCCAGAGGAAACAGAAACCGATGTAAGCGCTTGCTGCTACTGTATCAATTGGCAAAGCAAGCAAAAATTGTTGTTTCCTTCTCTCCTTTGCTTTGAAAAGACGCGGTAGGACCGGCAGCAAACTTTTTCGCCACGCTCCCTTTGCTTTGCAGGTAGCTCTGAAGGCGGACAACTTGGACCCTACCGTTGCAGATCTCTGCAAACAAACAGTATGTGTGTTGAAGCGACTCGAGGAGCACGCGCATCTGCTATACAAGGAGATGCGCAGCTTGCAGCGAGCTGCTGAGATCGCAGAGGAGATGGTGTCCCAACTGAAACCTGAATTCGAAGAAAGTAACCTTCAGGATGGATCACTGAGGAAAACAAGCGGCCCTCAAGATCGATTCGGTATTGGCAGCTTGCAGCTGTTTGGGCTAGAAATTGAAGAACCTCACGCTGCTATGACCGATACTCAGTTGCAGGAAATAAAGAAAGCCGCGGAAGCTGCACGAGGGCAGCGAAAGCTTCAACTGGACGCCCTGAAGTGGCTAAGCGAGCCCTTAAGCACTGCCTGTGGTGAGCATGTGCCAACACAACCGGCTGCCTTTGCTCTTCGTAGACAACCTTATTTGCTCGTCTGTGTTTTTTGAGGAAGTAGGGGAATCCGTATCTCCCGCACTCTAGCTTGAAAATACAGCTCGAAATGGCACAGCCGTAGTTTCTCGCTAAATAAAACTTTGTAATAATGCATATTAATAACCATATAGAAGCGGCTGCCGAAGTTGGCTTTTAGTCCCCTGCGTGCGGATTTCGCCTGGTTCAGAATGCCAGGAACAATTCAGGAAAGCCCCAGCATCACAAGTTTGTTCTGCTCTCAACACCTTCGATACAGTGGCGGAGAGCTGGTCGACTGGGGAACCAAAGACGCCTTTGCTTCTGCCGGTGGCGCTGGCGGCTCTTGCATGCGCAATGTGGGTCCCACTGCATTTGCCTCTCTGGTGTGCACTGGACTGATTACATTGAACTTGGCTTTCGGGTTTGTATAATCTCGGATACAGTGCACTTGCCTCTGGTGTCAAGCATGTTGGTGACGCTGAGTTGCTGCTGTATTCATTTCAAAGCACGGCTTTTGGGAGAGGCGAGAGGGAAAACAGACAGCTCACAGTGGCAGCCACCGACGAAACTTCTGGTTGTCAGACTTCTTTCCTGTATGGGTAGTTTGGCCTACCAGTAGTCATTTCGCTTGTATGTTCTGCTTGTGCGCATAGGGCTTACAATGCTTGCACCGTTGGGTCTACTGAAGTGGCAGTTCAGAGCCTTGCAAGCTTATTGTTCCACAGTGGATCAGGGAAAGCAGCTGAACAAGTGGCACAGGATAATTTCCGGCACTCTGTAATGCACGATTCAGTACTGGAGCAGAGAAAGCTCATTGAGGGCATTGCGGTGAGGATGCTTGGTCTTGTCCTAGATCACGATGAGCCCAAATCAAGCTGCCGTACGTCATCGCAGTTGCAGGTCCCACGTGGGGGACGCATTCCTTCTGTGTTGGCCAGCACGCAAGATATGCCCGGCGATCCCACGGAAGCGCATTCGCCGACGCGAAGTTGCTTCTTCTTCGTTGTATCTGTGGCTCAAGAAGCAATCACTGCTATCCATGTAGGCCAATCGACCTTGGTCCTGTTTTCCCCTTGATTTTTATTCTGCGTTAGTGCGCGCTTTGAATTCAGTGTGCTGTTATCATCCATGGCTTTGCCGATACGACCCCACGGTCACGGCAGCGCAGTGGCATGTTATCAAATGCATATCTAAGCAATCCCTGTGAAATGCAGCTGCATGCTGCGCTTTTCTTTAGGAGGCTGGCGGTGGACCTGGGGACCCCGTGTCTCTAGAGCGTGAAGCTGAACTGCACCGCGACCCAAGATATGCTCGGAATGAAAGAGCTCTGCTGCAGAAGCTGGAATTTGCTTTTTTGGAGCTGCGCTTGCACATAAACAAACTTTTGGCTTTCCGCTTGGCACTGAGCGAACTGGGATGCACGCAGCAAGCATGGGAAAAGGTCACTGAATTCAACTTTCGCGCAGCAGCTATCTTGGGCCAGCTGAATCAGATCCCTGAAAAGACGGAGTGATGTGCCACTAACATTGGCGCATAGAGTTTTCGAAATTTCTCGCTTTTGCAGTCGTTTACGCGCCTGGCACTATTTTCGGCCTTGCAATGGTATTGAGTGCTACGCCCCCCTTGGCCACCTATTTGATTATTAAGTTAGTTTGTACGGTGCCACAGTTATCACAGGAGCAATTAGCCCCGCATTAGGAAGTATTGGCATTTACGTTTGCAGAAAACCGATCCATGGAAGACGCTTGGCCGTTTGTTCTTTTGACAGGCCACTCGACTTACTGTTCATAACCAGCTCGAAATGTTCCTGGGTATTCTCATTTTGAGTGGAGGCGTTAAGAGAATCGATCATTAGGGCGTGGACAGTAGCCATCTTGCAACTTATCTCCTGTACGGAAGGCCTTCTGCACAAGAAGGCCTAACTCTCTGCCGATTCAACTGCAACGAAGCATCCTTCTGCATTGAGTACGTGCAGGAGTTGGGCGTAGTACCATGTCTTGTTGATGCCTGCTTAGAAGTCCACGCACGTGCGTAGGAACATATGCCTGTGCATTGCGTTTCTCAACAGGCGGGTAAATTCCGACGAAGCGGCAACGTGGAAGACATGGCCATCTCAGTATTTACCCCGTTTTGTTCGCCGCAATCGTCAAATCAACGCTGATCTACGAAAGCTTGTGTTTCAACTGTGTACGGAGGAAGGAGAAGCTGGTGTCGTTTGGTTCTTTCACTGACATATTGCCGCTTAAAGAGCTGCAGCCAATCTTTGGGAGCTACGAGCAGTCAAATATTTGGGGAACAGATTCCTACTGAACCAACATAAAGAAATTCGGAAGCAGCTACTTCGTGAACCATGAGAAACAAGCGCACGCAGAACTCGCAGAATCTACACGTAGGAAGACGCACCTGACTGTAACGCACGGCTCTCCTGTAGGATGCTCTGTCTGAAGTTCGTACGCAGTACTTCCACTTGCGAGGAATTTGGCTACTGATGGCCAAGTATGTGTATTACAATTCTCTGCAGTGTAAGCATGTGCATAGAAACGGGCTTAGGCGCCAACACAGCACAGGCGGAGTCGACCTCTTGTGGTATACAGGGCGGAGCTTGGACTGTACCTATTAAGCTTCCCAGCTTCTCTACGTAGATACGTTCGGCGCAAAATGCAGGATCATGCGTTAGCTGGTCATGCATGGGTCAGTATAACAATGGACAGGGTGGATAAGTCCTTGTGGGGGCCTACGGTACACCTCTCAGCGAAGGAAGATCTCACACCTCGCGAGCGTCAGCATCAAAAGCCATGGGAATCTGCTTGCCCGAACTCTTGCGATCCCCAAATGGATATGGACAAATATCTCACTAAACTTCATAGTGGGCCTACTGTAAATGAGAGGTTGAGTTAGCATTTGTGTAGTTGCGGGGACGCGGCTAATATGCGCACTTCACAACCTGTTCGATTTCCGTTACAGCAGGAGTGCCCCAATTATTCGTTAGTTACGTAATTAAAAAGTCTACGATTTCCTTAAGAGAGTGACCACTGGAAGGTACTCAACAACTCTCAGTGCAATTTTGCTCAAACTCATGACTCAGCCTATTAAATCGGTCAGCAAACGACTACAGCGGACCAAACAGAGGGAGACAGTCGAAATAAATGCACCAGCCGCATGCGCGTGCAGTATTTCCGACGCTGCACCCAGCTAGATCCATCGACGCGGCTTGATTTCTACCCTTGTGCGGACTGGGCTTGTGAGAGAACAATGCTCTCCGCGACCGGTTCACCGACCTCCCTCGCCAGCACTCAAACACTGTCGTTTGAGCTGGCGCTAAGCCTTCTTGGTGGCCGCAAGCCTCGAACATCCGCAGTATTGAACTTAACTTCACAGCTCTTAGCACTTTGGGAATATATGAACATAATGAAATGCCAGGCAAGGGACTATGACAAACGACGTCCAGCAGTTACGTTTGATCCTGGGGACTGTTTCTTAGTACGCCCTGCAAGTTGAGCAGGAGGGCGAGCGCCCGAAGGAATTCGCCGTGTTTGGGGCAGGGCCCTTTGCTGAGGTTTCTCGGGTTAAAGCACTTGCATACATCGTAGATTTTCCCCATATGTGGAGATGCCACCCAAAAACGGTAATTTCGGTTATTTAAGGTGATTCAGAAAATCGCTGAAACCTCGACCCCTCTCCCCACAAAACGACAGCACCACCTGAAGGGAGGTGAGAGCTTGGGTTTGACGCGCATATGCCACGTACAAGAATTTCACTATTGCGTCAAACAGCAAGGGGACTGATAATAAGCCTGTTCCATTTGCAAAACGTCTCTCTCCACCAACTACTAGGGCCGTGTAAATGACCTGCTCGCTTGGTGCGTAACTCTCCATCATCGAGTTCCACCCGTTCACCCTGTAGTTCCCTCTCCGCGGCCCACCCGGTTACCTATTGCCCCCCTCCAAGGGATACCCCTGCTGTGAACCGCTGATATAGCTACTTAGAAAATCTCCGTTAGAGTTTTGTTCACCAATGACTCGTACTTCTGAATGTGGCGTTACCTCGTTAGCACCCCCTGTGTAAGTTCTTTCAACCCTTCCGCAGCCTCTTTTCTTGTTTACCGGAGGATAAGCCTTCATCACATTGCATATCCGAAAATTTCCATACTACAGATGTGCTCCGGAAGAGCGGTACCCTTCCTCACATATAACCATCACTATCGTGCAAGAGGATGCCAGTAGTAACAGTATCTTTCTGGAGCATTTGCAAGGGAATCTTATCACTGTATCCACACCAGAACTCCCGTCTTGTTTGGACGGTTAGCATATGCGGAGGCATTCTCCTTGAATTGCTCGCGGTAAAGAGAATTTCAACTGGATGGGCTACGGGGATTGCGCTCGTTCCAGAGCGACGAGGTGCCCAGCCGTTCGTAGCCTCCCTGCTAGAGGGCAGACCTTAATCAATCTGCATTGTAAAACAGGGGAAAATGCTGAGAGCACCGATGTTTTTTTCTGTTTTCTGGCCCAAGCATCTTAACGACAAAGCCGTGTTGCATACCAGGCCACGCAGCTACGGGTCTGCAATTCGCAGCTGACCCCTGTCCCTTTCAACCATGCATATAGTGAAAGCAAGTGTAGGAAGAGTCGTTGACCTTGGCCAAGGACCGTTGCGAGCTGCAGTAGAGTCAAAATTCAAGAAAGCCTGAATGAAGCAGAACTCCATCCTAGTCTCGTGGCGTCATCGGCACAGTGGGACGAGGGCCTGGGGATAAGTTTGGAGAGAAGGCAGCCCGTTACGAGTTGAAGCACTTCTTCCTGTAACTCCTGCTACGAGGCAGCTCCACGTGCGCGCATACGCAGGCGTCCTTCTGAAGCGCGTACTAGCAGTGCAGAGGAGTGTTTCGCATTTACATGGCTCTCATTAGTAAGCCTGCGTGTAAGTAGAAATGCCTCTATCTGCAAAAGACGGATCATGCTACATCCAGCACCCCACACTGCACTGGAGAATCGGCTGACTGTCCAGTATACAAATTCTGAACGGCTGCATAACACCCCCATGAACAACAATAAATGCACAATCTGAGAGCCATAAGCCGAACAAAAACAATGAAATTCAAGCCTTCACACGCGGTTTGACACCTTTCCGTGTGTTTTGTTTTAGAAGCTGCGTAAGCGAGCGGCGGCGTGTTAAGGCCCATTTGAAATCTGTTGGCTAGAGGAAGCATCTATCGGCGTCTTGGCGCTATAATACCTTTATTAAATCGACAAAAATAGGTGGAAATAAGATTATGCGACCAACCCTTCTGAAAGACAGCTTTTCCTGTAAACGCTGGCTGCGCGTTAGAGGCCCTCCTCCCAAGCGTTCCCCCAAGTCGAGGCTTTGCTTGAGAGTGCTCCTGGCAGCCCTCTTGAGGGGGAAAAATATATACAGTTCCAAAGGTGCACTCACTTTGACGCTCTTTTTAGTATTTTCAGTCTGTTGGCGAACCGGAAACCGCTGCACGGTCCCTTGCGGTGGAGAAGGACGGCTTCTGGGCAGCTTGCGTACACCTGAGCTGTTGGCTCCCCAGTATTCCGTCAAATGCATTTAAACGATTTATATGAGGGTGTTGAAGGTATATCCCTAGCAATGCCTGCTGTAAAGGGTGCTTGTAGAGACGCGCTTGCGTAGCAGGTGGGGCACTGAGCCCCTCGATCAAAGTCTTATGAATATGCCTGAGGCTCACGCACTTCGCGGAGCCGTTTCGATGCAGAAGTACCCTCACATCAGCGCCTTCTCATCTCCCAACTTTGCTATTCGTCACCCCTCATCAGCAGTGCAGAGCCGTAGGGGCGTCATCTTCGCCGGGCCAGGGACACTGCCCAACGGCCTTCGGGGGGGGTTTCTTCTGCATCAAGGCTGCAAGGAGGCCTCTGGAGTTGGCAAGAGGATAGGGCATTCGAGCTGGCTGTTGGCGCTCCTCACCGCTGTTTTATTGATAGCATCGCGACCCATGGCAGCGCAAGGAAGTCCAAGTGTCGGCTTCGGAGGCCGCGTACTTAAAACGCTCCTCAAGGAAGCCTTGAACTCGAATGACCCATGTACAGCCCTCGCCGATGCTGCGAAAAACGGGGGAGTGAGGGTCCTTGCTGTGGACTTCGACATGACGATGATCACCGCACATTCAGGCAAGTGCAGCCACGCACGTAACTGTTAAAATACTGCGCTTGCAATGTCGCTGTGAGCTGTATCATGAGCATGTCGTATCTTACCGGGTCACAATTGGAGGGCTATGGACAGAGGGTATGGCTGCGTTTTCCTCGGGTATCATTGTAATATGCTTGCAGGCAACACGATGTGTGTGCGCGATGATCTGCGCTTTCAGGAGGAAGTGCTTCCGACGTGCCTGATAATGCAATCTTCACAGCTCTTTCACCGGACTTTGATGCATTTGCGGCGGCGGCATCATCTCGTGGAATTCGCATTGCGGTGGTGACCTTTGGAGGTGAGGACTACTTGTCTTGGGCGTGGTGCTGCGTCGGACCTGAGGTGTCTCATATGACCCGCTCCGATCGAAGTTCATATTTACTAGCAAAAGCATCTTTAAAGTGTTTTCGCTGCTGCTGCAGACCCAAAAGCTATCGCTTCGCGGCCAGGCCGTATTGCAGGCGAAGAGCTCGTGCGGCGGGTACTTGCAGAAAGCGATGCTTCGTTTGATGTCCAAGCAGTGTTCCCTTTCTATCCTTCGTGAGCTTGGGTTGTTCAGGGTTTTGGTTTTTTGGGCCCAGGGTGGAGTAGCTGGCTGCCTACTGCATGGAGGGGGTCTTCTGTTTTCGAGCCGTTACCAGTACTTCTGAAAGGGCTTGTCACGTTGAGCAACTGAAAGTCTTTCTGTATGCGGACAAATGAGGATGCTGGGGTTGATCCATGCGATATGGTGCGCTAATCCCAGGTTGTACAGGCTGCCTGCTGATTACGAGCCACTGGGTTTAGATGGGCCTATGCCGTACAACAAATCCTTCCACATTGGCCAGGTCCGTGTCCTCTTTGCTTCATCATCCTTGTGCAACCGAGTTGATTTAATGTTTCGGTGCACCAGCAATGCAGAAGCACTTTTCAGCAACGTTTGGAGCGGCCACTGCTATATGCAAGAAGAAACCACTACCGGTCCCTTGTTGCCACTACAGACGAAGGAGCACCATCGAACCGTGATGTGATTGCGTATAGGTGATAAAGGAATTTGGAGTTACCAAGGAGGAGGTGCTGCTAATTGACGATGACGGAAACAACTGCATGGCGTTTGCAGCTGAGGGGGGCGTTGCCTTGCGAGTTGGTGGCGACCAAGGCTTCGATTTTGCCACTTTAGAAGTCATGTAAACCTCTCTTTTCATTGATTATCGCGGTTACTTACCTTTTGTGCACTGGCCTTCAGAAGTCAGTGATGCTGTACGCTTCCTTTGCCTCAGTTCAAAATGCAGCGTGCAGTTCGACGGTTGTGTTTGAGCTTCGGTATACGGATTTCCGATATGTTGTTTGAAAGTGCCGTGAAGCAATAATGCTATGCTTTGCACATACACGGGCGCCAGACGGAGAAATGCTAATCGGTTTTCGTACAGGAGCCTTTACGGCTGCTGCGATTGGCACGGCCGTAGCGTTGCTTGAGCGTAAACTTCTCCATTGACTCACGATCCCGTGAGTGCGTTGAAAGACTGCAGCTATGGAGAGGCAGGGAGTTGGATGCGTGGTAGAGCAGCGCATGTATTTCAGCTGGCTTTGTTAGCGAGGAGTAGCAAACGATTGCAAGCAGCTCAGGCCGAACGTGCAGGTTTGAAGGATGGAGGGCATAGGGCAGAGCATAGAAAGCATCGTAGTTTGCGAGCTAAGGATGCAATATTCCACCGATGCGCAACGCCTAGGGGGTGGCCCCCAAGGACTAAAAATGCGGGGCGATTCCATTATACTGTATCGCGTCAAAGTTTGAAGTGGCCTTTAGAGCTACAATTGACGTACAGTATTGGCTTTTGGATCTTAGCATAGGCTTGATGGCATTGGTGTACATGTTGGCGAGCTCTACTGCGTCTATCCAACAACAAGCAATCATTTACTGCAGTCCAGTAGTGGCGGGCTAGAATTACCAGCAAATCACATGCATGTAGATTAGCTGGAGGCTCAAACTCCCAATTTCTGTTTTCCGGTGGCTTCCTCAGCGGGAATGGCCGCTTGGCACTGGCATGCAGGCCGTCAAAAGATGGACCCGCTGGAATCAGTGGAATCTCTGTCCTGAATGCGCGCTCTTTGCATTTCCTGCGCTGGACGCGCATCAAGAAGCAGACAAACTGTACTGCACCTCAATCAGCCTTGTGGAAATAGGTCTTCTTGCTCGCCCTGTCGGCGTGTGATTCAGATGCTCTGCGTTTCTGGCCTTCAAAAAGAGCAACCAGACCCCCATCTCCACCCTTGCGTTGCTGCTGTTGTTGCGACTGCTGCCACTGCGAGCACATAAGCCCATACAATAAAACCGCTTACAAAGTAGGCCCTTGTACAGAAAACAGCTTTGGCCCTCTCACAGGCTAGGGCAGTTGTTCATGCTGCTCTAGATAATCCGGCGCAGCCTGGTGGAGTGGCAAGCGTTGTAAACAAACCTGAAGCAGACGCTGAATACTGGACTTCTTTTCAGGTGGCAGCGCTGAAGAGGCTCCTCCAGAACCAGAGTACTTTCGTTCCACCTGTTCAACTGACTGCTCCGGCGGTGGAGAGTTTTCATTTTGAAAGGTGGTCGGATCCGGTGCCGGTGCTGCTGCTGCCGCAAAGAAGTGCTGGCGTTGCTGCTCCTGCCACAGCAGTGCTTCTCTTAGTTGCCTGCGTAGGGCGCACGGGAATTATAGGGAAAAAGAAACCTAAACTTGCTCGCGGGGATTATTCCCACAGTCTTCCAGTGCAAAGGAATTGCGCTCGACCCAAGGTTCACTCCCATAAACTGTTTTGGTGATACGGGTAATATATTCATCATCTCCATACGCCCTCGTGGAAGAGCACCACTGTACTTGGCTACTCCTAACCAAATCTATTCTTGTCGATGTTATGCATCTCCTAACAACGGGCTAGCGATTGATCGAGATAGTAAGCTGTAGCTCCTGATGTAGTGATAGGGGAATTGGCTTACTCCGTCTGGAGACGCGTATCAGAGTCAAGGAGGGAACGAGCATGCTGGGGGGCATTTTCTGTCTTAAGGCGCAGTGCCATGTCCTTGGCTACCCCATGCAGCTGCAAAGACGACACAGCGGAAAAAGAATGCGCTGGTGGAGTTCGCACAGCAACCTCACAATGTAAATAATTTGTTCCCTTCGTCGATATGTCTGCAGTGCTGCGAATATTTTCTCCGATTTCTTGTCTTGTGGCAGCTTTGCTCATCACGCATGTGGCAATCTGAACCAAATCCACTTCGTGAAGAGGAAGTAGTAAGTGTCCAGAAGCAGAGCGCTGTCAGAATGAGACTGACATGCATTCGGTGAATGTGGACTTAGTTTCTGGTCTTCTTACCCTTTTGTCGTCCGTGCACTTGGCAAACCCCCGCAAGCAAAACTTGTCATGCCTCTTGCTAAGAAGCTGCAGCTTTCTCTGAGCTTCCCGGGCCTCAGCATCTCCTTCGGCGCCACCGGAAGCCGATCCCCCACAAATGCTGACAAAATGGTTTAATTGCCTAATGGCCATTTCCTGTTGTAGCCGCAGTTCGTCATACTGAGGCCACGGCACCAGAGCGGCATCTCCTCCCCCGTCACCGACACCTTTCAGCTGCTTGTCTTGCCGCAAAAGCCTTTGCCATCGGGCATAGCTCCACAGGTCAGGAGAGGGGATGCGGAGGGGAATATGTTCCATTGTGTACCCGAAGAAAGCTTCAGAAACGGAACAGTCAGGAAAAGAAAGACCCTCTTCACCCGCCTTTAGCCGTACGACACCGAGTTCGCCCTGGAGATACCAGCCAAAGAAACCAAAACACTCGCTGAGAGCGTTTGCTGTATAAGGACAAATGCTGGGCACCTGAGTCAACACTAGCATGCTCAGCCAGGAGATGGTCCTTCTGTGTAATTTCACTGACTTTCGTTTCGTCGACGATTACTGGAAAGAGAGGAACGTTGGCTGAGGCATCTTCAAGTAAGCAAAGCTTCACCCATTTGAAGGCGTAACCTAATCCCCCTATATTGGTGGAGCCGACCGGTAATAATCCTCGCACAACTCCTGCGTCAAGCAAATGCCACGCAAAGGAAGCAAAAGATGTCCTCGTAAATTGCGAAACACGCATCCACCACTGCGTAGCCATCGAGGTCATCATGCTTTCTTATCATATGAATGAACGAGGTGTAAGATTGGCTCTTACGCCGCGCTCCAAAAGAATTAGGGAGGAGGTGGCGCCAACTTGCCTGAAACGTCTTTTACTGCTGGCATTCCTCCTGGAGAGACACCGATCCAATCAAGTGGCGTTTCCAGATCAAAGAAGCCTACGTCCACAAAAGAAGATCATAGGGAGCACAGAATGTCCCCAGTGGCGCATAATGGCATATTCGCCACTTGGTGGGCCCATGCGCCTGTGCGCTATCACGTGGAACGATGAATGCATGCATCACTACCTTCGTGAATTATGTCGACATCCGGAATAGACGCAGCGGCGACAGGGGGAGCCGCTAGCCGCCGCTTGAAGCAAGAAATAGGCAGACGAAAAGTGGAATTGGGGCAAGAAGGGCTTGGATGCACGTGCAGTACGGAGCAGTGCAGCTGCAGAAAGCCCTCGCTGCATCCAGTCTGTGTCAAAACAATCAGTAACTGCTGCGAGCCACAAAGCGAAACAGGTCTGCCAAAAACGTCGGCCGTATACAACAGTATCCCCCCTAAGGTGAAGATGCGTAGCGTCCTGAAACAGCGTATAGCAAGAGTTTCCCGTGTTTCTCGTATATACCTTCATCATGAAAATGGAATATTTGCGTGCATCAAGCCTGCAGCCTCCCTTCAATGCTCCCCGCGCTCTCCCCCGCCACTGGCGTGGCGGGTTTCTGTCTGCAAGGTACTAAAGGGCATTTCGAAAGGTTTTCGATGTGTTCCATGCAACTGCAAACCTGTCTTCAGTCACTGCGGCCACGAAGGAATCTCCTGCAGCTACCGCAACAATTTTCTCTCCCTCGGCGAAATGCTTTACCCATGACCCGGCATCCAAGAAGCAACTGAAAAAGAGTAGACGCAGAAGCGACCCAATAAATCAGCCAGTGACAAATGGAAAGAGACTAGTTACAAATGACGTAGTAGCATAACCTGAATGGTGACAATGGCGCCTAGACTGTTTTTAAGCACGGCAAACAACACCTTACCGAAACTCCATGACACTCCGAGAGGAACCAGAAGAGGCCAAGACAACGCCAGCTCTGCCTGCGTAAAAACAGCAGATTCTAGTGTCTGTTGAACAGCACTTCACCGGCTCTGTGGGCAAGAACAGCGAAGAGCAACTAGCCATCCTTAAATCTAAATCCTCGGGAGGGCACTCACACAGAGCAGCGGCCGAGGAATTATGCAGATCCGCGAGCTTTCTGTGCGCAGTTCCCTCAGCAACGGCCCCAGGAGAAAAATTGAAGACGTCAAGCACAGAATTTTCCGCTGTCACGGTTTTGGTGATGTGGCCGAAATGGGTCCAATACAGACACCTGAGAAGGCAACCCCGACTTAATGCCAGCAGTGTCCACTTCATCCATGGAGGACCATCAACAACGTTCCGCACAATTCGCCTGCGCGCGAGGACCCAGACTGACGCATAACCGTGGGGCAGCTGGATGGCGCCCATCAACAGCATGGCCCTAATAAATACAAAAAAAGTTCCAGACGACTGAAACTTGGGCTTGTTCTCCGCACCAGGGCTTCCCCGGGTCTTTTGGCTGGGGCCCACCGCCTGGATGGATAACCCGCTGCTTTGTTTCGTGTTGCTTCTTGAGCAGCGCATTCAGCATCGCCTGAGCCTCCTGCAACTCCGACTGCAACGCAGTGAGGCTGGTGGCGAAACCTTCAGCACCGCCAGCATATATTCCCTCTCCGCCAATGGAGGATCTGCGGGAGCCGCCCGACTCCGGATCGCTACTTTGGCTCTCCACTTCCGCTCCCGCTGGTGGTCGTCTGCGGTGCTTGTGAGTGCGTTTCTTCTGAGGGGCTGCACCATTGTTCACGAAACAAGAAAATTGAGCACTTGCACACGTACAATTCGCATTTCCTGGTGTTGAACTCACGCGCCTCAGCCGCAACGGAGCGCATCCTAAAATGTTCGTGCTGAATTTGTCTATTGTGTTTTTGCTTGCAGACAAGCCGACAACCCAATTCGAAGGCACGGGATGGAAGCCCATGCTGCCAAAAATGAAGTAGTGGGAGCACATGCTGGATACGGCGCATTTGGCTGAGCATTGAAAAGCCCTTATACTTCTACTTCTTTATACTTCTAGTTACATACGCGTATATGCACGCTGACAGCCGCACAGAAGCAACCAGCCTAACTGCCTACTTACTTCTTTCCTCAGGATCCATCCCATTGAAGAGGTCATTTTCCTGCGCTTCACTTTCCGTTTCCTCAGCTGAAGCTTCGGCAGCTTCTCGACTTAGAAAATCTTTAACTGATCTCGCAGAAGCGGCACTGTCTGTGGGCAAATGAACAAAGTGAAGAAGCGGCCGAATGCTGCCTTCCCTCTTCCGTTACCTCCAGCAGATAGACAAATGCACGTCCTCAGAACCAGTGGCATAGCTGAATCAGCACAAAAGTCCTTACCTTTGATTTCCCAACCCATGCTGCCGTACTGCCATGCAAAAAGTTTCTTGGCTCTACCGTGCTTCGCTGACACCGCTTATACCGATCACCGTTAACAAGAGCCCCAAGCAGAGATAATAATTTGACCAGGCACCTCACACTCTGTCTAATTAGTTAGTGATGTCTTCAGTACATGCGCTTACGTTTGGTGTCCTCATCCTCCGCATTTTCTGCCGTCGGTTTTGGTGACTTCTCGGTTGACTGCGCCTGCGCTTTAAGTGCACCTGCGCGCATAGGTGAGGCGGCAGCCGTAGCTGCTGCAGCTGGTGCTGCCGCAGCTGAACTCTCCATGGCAGCTCGCAAATCCTCACGACGCAAAGCAAGAAGACCCAAATAACCGTCGTTCCGCAACAGCAACAAAGGGGCAAGGGGGGAGTTGGCGGTCAGGCAGCAAATACTCCTAAGCTGAACATCCCCTCCAGCTGCAGGCAAGCGGTAAATTTGGATAGCATAAACGCAATGAGCAAGCGCAGTACTATATATTATTACCTACGACGGTACTTTTTGTGCCTGCAGCTGCACCCACGGTAGACCATGTACAAGTATAGACAGTATATATATATATATATATATATATATATATAGCTGTCTCTGTGAATGTCTGTTTCTGGTCCTCTCGAAGAGAAGTCTGACAACGAACAGACAAGGAGATGAGTAGAGAGGCGAAGGATAAACGCATGGTAACTAGCCATTTACTTTGTATCATCAATAGGGGTTCTTTTTGCTGCATCTTCCAAATGCCTATTTCCAAGGTGGCCGATACACCGCAAATGAGTGGCTCTCCAACACAGTTCCCTGGGGCATCGAGCGCTTTTCCTTCATCAGCAAAACCACAGTGCTGTAGGAGAACCAAATGGGATGGAGCATGGGCTCCCGTTAGAGCTGGCGCCTCTTTTGCCTCCTCCCACGCACTTGTCTTGCATGAGGAGCGCAGCTGCGGGGCCCCTGGGATCAGTAGTTTTTCCTCCCCAGCCCTGCGCCCAACAATGAAAGAGGAGAAAGCCGAAATTGTGTAAAGTATTGGCGAAAGGGCTAACGAACAGGAGGGGAAACAGCCAACAACCCCAAGGGAAACAAAATGAAATGGGCGGACCATGTTGGCTGAGCTGCCGGGTCAGCGGGGCCTGCGAGTCTAAGCGGTGAAAAGTCCTTCACAACTGAAAATTGTTGCCCTTTTCGTTCCAGCAAAACTAAGCGCCGCTTTCGGGTGCTGATAGCCAGGCGATCCCCTTGGGGTGACAACGTGAGACGACAGCCTCCGTCCACAGCACTGCAAAGATCAACACACAGATGGAAAACGCAACTAGATGTGCTGTATGGAATATTTCATAGCGGAAATAGCAGCAGCGGTCGCTTCTGTGGTTTACAGCATAGTGGAGGGACATGACGACTAACGGGAGTTCTTTTGTTTGAGAAGTTTCTGGCCACGAGACAACGGCAACGCCATCGCTGTACAACGCAATTAGCATTAGGGCGTATCTGGTGCTACTCTTCTCAGAATCCTGGGCCCCCACTGATGCTGGGATCCCTTCCCCTTGGACATAGCAGCAAATCATGTCGATTGGTTCAGCCATACGGCAGCACAACAGCTGCTTCGAGGAGACAGAGAGTCTACGAGGTAGTCCCCTCTCATGTTCGCTGTTGCGATGGTCCTGCTGCTGTTTCATCTCCATTTGCCACAGTTGTCCATTAGTCAGACCGACGAACAGTTGCACGGGCGCGTCAGCCGCCTCAGTCTCTGCCGAGGCCAAAGCCGTCACACCACTGTCAGAGGCTGATGCTGCAGTAATGCTCACCCTGCAGCTCTCAACATCTCTCTTTGTTGATGCTGTTTTCGCTGCTGTTGCTACCTGAGATGGCAACAGGCGGTGGGCGAGGATAGTGGCCGTTCCATTGTAAGTAAAGAAGTCCGAAATGAGACACCTTTCTGTTGTGTCTGCAGATCCTCGGACCGGAAGACGGACCACAGCAGAGATGCCCTTTGGAGAAAGGCCCTCTTCTCCGACCCTGCTCCAAGCCACTAGTGGGCATGGCTCCTCTCCGTGCTCCATGATCTTAAGCGTCCAGCTACACCGACCGCAGCAACTGAGTTCCCGAGCACAGGGGCGGGAGCGCGACGTGTAGAATAATGACCCCCCCCTTGACAGATTATGAAGTCTCGCCTCGAGAAACCCTAAAGATTACGAACTCATCGCGAGATAACGACGTGAATGAACAATGAGCCTCGAGGCGGTGGTTGGGGTTGGATTCCCCCTGGGGGAATAAATGTTAACTGTGAAAGGGTGGACTGGGTGCTCCACAGTGCGTTATTTCAGCTAATGCTAATCAAGCCAACCAGAGTTTACCTTTTCTGAAGCATTCATATTGAGAATCAGTTAAATGGTGCTGGCCGGTGGTGGGTGAGTAGTTATGCCTCAGCTGGTGGGTGGTTCGCGGTGGGGCTGAGCTGAAGGGACAGGTTGAAAAACGGAACTACTTGCAGCACTCTCTATTTTGGAACATAAAATTTCACTGGAGTAACAGTAAAAAGAGACTGTAAGTACCCAATCTCCGGCTAGCACCCCTTGTCGGCCGCCCCCAAAGGCAAAATGATCGCACTGCACAGCTGGCTTGCGTGGCACTGGAAATATGCATAACCGTATACTCTAGCAAATACCTTGCAGTTTGATTTACAGTGAAGACTTATTATAGGCCCCTGGGTGTTGGTCGGCAGGGCTTTCCTGCTGGCAGATTCACTGGCTTCGGTAGAGGCTGCGCTTAGTATGCTGGACCTGTAGCAGATAGTGCAGAGTAGTATTCTCTGTGGCTTCCTCAACTACTCATAATCCAGCTCCCTTCTTGAATGGTCCCATTAGGGACCTGACTCATGGCGGAAGACCGCTGCAAGCTGCAGTGGACTTGAAGCGCTAAAGGCAAGACTTCCTCAAAGCATCAGCCCAACGTTCCTGTCTTGGCATGGCGAGACACGAGCCTGGATCTGAGGTGGAGAGGAGGTGGCCTCCCGTGAGTTCTGACGCTCCTTGCTGCGACTTACTCTGCAAGCCAACGTTTGCCCGATGCACGCATGACCAAGCCCCGGGTTGCGTCAGGCACTAGCATTGTAGAGAGGTATTAACATGTTTTTGACCCTCAACAGCCAGTTTGTACGCAATGAGCAACGCACGAAATAACTTCAGACAGAGCATGTTACACTTGCTCCAAGTGGCACAGGCTCACGCCTGCTTGGCTGCCCTACGATTGGCGCATCGGAGGAGAGGAAGGACGCAATGTGAGGGGCCAGAAGCTCGGAAACGTGGAAAAGGGAAGCAGCAAAAGGGATGGGTGCCTCTACATAACATGAACACGGGGTGGGCCGGCTAGTTAAGCCATCAGCGAGCTGAGTTGGTGCCCTGGCTATCGAAGCTGCGGCTACTGCAAGAAAGGATGTTTCCGCTCTTGCTTTGCAGCTGCTACTATTGTCGCTGCTGATACCCCCCTGCCTTTGAAGAATCCCGGGAATAAAGCAGGCCATTGCAGCGCCCTTTCCAGTGTGCCTGCGACGGGTACCCATTTTAATGCTAGCTCCCCAATGCAAAAGAGATAATTGGCCATGAACGGGCTCCTGGGAGCAGAGCCGGTGTGCGCGGTGGCGGGGAGGGCGAGGTAGTGCTGTTCCGGCCATACTGCAAAGGGGTCCAAGCACCATTAAGTGCATTAAGTCAAAGTGTTGTCCGCAGGAACGCCGAGCTCGCTGTAGCTAGGGGAAGCGGCTCAGCTCACATTAGGGCAATACTTTCTTTAGAGAAATTGTATGGAAGATATTAACCTCCTACACAGGAGTAGTTTCTGACTAGGATTTGCGCGAGTCCCAACTTGCCGCTGCGCTGTGCGTTTCTGTGAATTAGACCCACGGCATGCTTAGGATTATATGAACTACTCAAGCGTCAACGCCCCTTGTCATTTAAACGAACACGTATCTGAAATGAGCGTGCAGTTTTACCCAACAGCTCATCCGATCCTCGCACCCCTCCTGGCACCGGCGAAACGGAGCCGCAAAAATTGAGGCATGCTGCGACTCCTCGATATGTCCCGCTGCGCAGGTTGTGCCACGTAGCGCTCACTTTCTGATCGTTGCTACCAGCTTGCGTTTGCACAGACTTGACTCAAGGCGAATATGCAGGTGACGCTGTCACTTCTTTTGGTCGCATCACCAATCCGGACGTTGCGTAGGGACCAGGCTGTCCTCTTGGTCGTTTTGCTGGTTTCTGCAAGCAGGCAGAAAGGCATGTGCCGACGTCAGATATACCATGCGACGCATGGCACCTGCAAATATCACCAGCGCCTTTGTACCAACAAATGGCCGTGCGCAATAGAGGCGAAGAACGAGGCATAGAGTAACGCTTCAACAATTTACAAACTGATTCTCGCGAGTTGCGTTATGAAGGGCTGGGAGAGCTGTGTCGAGCGGTTGGTCTGGCCGGTTTTGTTGAGTGCCCAAGTAGCTGCTACCTCCATCTACCTCCGAAACTCTGCATCAAAACGATCTTTATATTGATACAAACAATACCCGATTTCAAAATGGCTTATGCACAAGTGAAGCTCCAACGCGAACTCCGCTTCAAGGTTACCGTGCCTGCTCTGTCTAGTGCTTTGTTCCATCCAGCGAGCAGGGCACTGCAGCGCTGGCATATTCCCCAATATTCCCTAATAAAACCAGCAATAACAGCTAGCAAAAAGCCATTCTCAATGAACACAATCGTTACTTCCTCCATTCTACTTGCGTGCAGACGTCTTCGACCAGCTGGGCTGCGGCCTCTAACAGCGGCATTATCAGCAGCAGTGTGAGCAGCAGCAGCAGCAGCATTATTATTACCTCTCACTGCTGAAATAGTTGTATGATATAACCCTCGCTACTTTGCCTGTATCAGATGCATTTCACCACATCTTTTTCTTCCGTCCGAGTAGCGGGAGCGGGGGGAAGGGGGGTCCTTTGTCTGATCGTGTTGGGCCCCGTGGTCTGTTCAGCCCCGACTATGGGTTGCATGAGTGCTTCACCACAAATACATCCCGCCATTTAATTGTTTGATTTCAGTGGCAGTAGAAGCAAAGCCAGTAAGAGGCTGTATAGTCATCGTCAGCGGTTTCGGCCGCGGAGCAGCAACAGCTGCTAGGCAATAGCCTTTGGACAGCAACTTTACTGGAATTACATCTCTTCTACTTCCGCTGCGCCGTCCCTCCCATTTGCACTGCGCTCCTTTGGGTGTTTGTACATCTCAAGTGCAATCATGCCATGGGGCGCCCCGCCTGTAGGGGCAGCAGCAGCATCACAAGCGCCATCTCAAGAGGCCCCAGCAGACCCTTCAGCAGCTGCCCCGGCACCTGCTGCGGTATCTGCCACAGCTTCAGGTGTGCTTACTTCAAGTTGCAACTCCCCACTGCAGCAACGCAACAAACGAGCATTGTTCACTGGGGGTACGCCGAGTAGATACTCCTGCAGTCACAAGGGGGCCCCCATCTCAGCGGAGGCCCTCAGGCGCTTCTTCGGCGTTAAGGGTTCCTCCACCTCTTTCGAAGCCCAGAAGAGGGAGAGAGATGAGTCTTCAGCGCCTTCTGCACCAACCGAGTCAAGTAACTACTCCCGCATATTTCCAGCATCGTGTGCGGCTGCGGGGGCGCCTGCATCTGTCGCTGCATCTTCTGCTGCGTACACTCCAGCAGAAGAAGCAGCATCAGACTCATCACGGAGACTGGCCTCTTCAGCAGCCAATGTGTCTGAACCAGGCCCAGCAACAGCACTGCTGAAGCCAGGAGACGCTGCGTCTACTGGTGCTGTATGTTGGCGGCTTAAGCGTTACCTTAAACCCTGCAGCGCCGTCAACTTCTGCAACAAACAACGCTGCACAGGCAGCGGTGTGTCGGCGCCGTTAGCTTTTCCACATGGTGCTGCTATTGCTGCTGCGGAATCCAGCAGCAGCAGCACATCTCTCTCAAGAGCAGAATGCAGCCGCATGGGAATGAAAGGCATTTCTGCTGCTGCTACCCTTCAGGAAACGGGCGTCGTGAGCAAACGAGCTGCAGTGAGAGCCCCAGAAAGTGCACCAGTCGCAGCAGCAGGGAACGCCTCCCGTGCAGGGTGCACCCCAGAAGACCTCGGAAGGGGCAATGGGGGAAGAAAAAACGCCCCTGCAGTTGCAGCTTCTGATGCGGCGTCTGCTACTGCTACACCTTCTGCTGGTTTTAGCGACAGTACTGCTGTGGTGTGCCATTCACGTCCATGGGCAGATCTGCCTGATCCGCTTGTGCTGCAAGTACTTGACTTCGGCGGGAGAGAGATTGCAATGAGTGAGCTTTCGATGCGCGTGTGCTGCTTCCCCGTTACTGCTTCGACGTCTGCGCGCTGCATCTATTATTGCTGCTGCACTAGCAGCTCCTTCCTGCAGCATGTTTGCGGATCCCCCGGAGAGTCTGGGTGGTCTGGCCAGGTGATGCAGCTACGCCTTACTATCCATGCTGCTGCTGCTATTGTTGCAGCTTGCCGTCGGTTTGCTGGGCTCATACGGCGCCAGCGGCGGGTGTTGCGCTTTTCTGGGGACGCGTCAACGACCTCTTCTGCGGAGGCCCTGATACGGGCGATAATGAGGTTAGCTTAATGCCCAAAGTCCAAAAGCTTCGACTGAGATGACTATTGCTTAGGGCTGAGCGGCGTGTTGAGAGCCACGGGCTTTCGAGATGTGCTTTACGGCTTCAAACATCCACCTAAAGTGCTGTAGGGCACGGTGCCGTTTTGCCACGCGTGTTCTGTCGTGGAAAAGCGATTAGAACTGCTCCTGAGCATTCCGCTGCTGCTTGGATCTGCTGCAGCTCGCCGGGTCTGCGGCTGTTGGAGATTACTGCTGGGGGTGGCTTGAGTGCCTCTCAAATGGACCGACTTTCCAGAGCCCGCAGCAGCTCCCTGCCTCAAAAGCTGCAGGTCTTGGTGATGCGTCGGTGCAACAGACTTACTGACAAGAGCCTTAGGACGCTTCTTCTCAGGTAGGCAAGAGCGCTGAAGTTGCCCTGGAACGTCATCTGCTACTGCTCGTATTCCTACAGGCGCTGCAAACGTAGTGGGCGCCGGCTGCATCACTGTCTCTTCTTCTGCTGCTACAGACTGCGCGAGCTTCGGTGTGTAGATCTCCGTGACTCCTTCTCACTGACAGATGAAGCTCTTTCGACTTTGGGGTTTCTGCCTCGGCTGGAGCGAGTGGCCTTGGGGTTGACAGCCGGCGCCCGAGGGTGCTGTCGGCTTACCTGCCGCTCCCTCAAGGCCCTCTTGACACCACAGCGGCAAGAACAGCCGCAACAGAAGCAGCAGCAGCAGCAGGATTCTCAACAGCCGCAAGGACAAGCGCAGGCTCACCGACCGCATCCGGAGCAGGCGCAAGAGGGCTGCATATCCCCCATTAAGTTTCTCTCTCTTGCACGTTGTAGCGAAATGAAGGACTTCACTGTACTGGTCAACGCAAAAGCGACGCTTGTAAGGCCTTGCCTTTTTGTAGCATTTTACACTGGATGCCTGATCGCGGCTGTCCTCACTGTTTTGTTGCACCAGAAAAGTGCAGCTGTTGGTGAGCTGCGGCCAACTGTATTCCGCACATGCTTGCGATGGTTTTTTAAGGAGTTTCTCGATCTACGCGGGACAGCAATCGACGACACCTCCGCTCATGTCTTCGCTCAGTTGCACAATCTGCAAGTGCTCGTCCTAGCAGGTGAGCTCTAGCGGCCAGCGCAAGGGGGAGTCTCAGCAGCACAATGGGCGCTCCACCTGAGTGTGATAGTACTTTTGCCCTTGCGGGTGCTGGTGGCATTTTTGGGGGTACAGATACTGCAGTGACGACAGCAACCGTTTCAGCTGTTGTGGACGGCTGCCCCAAGTTGCAGATGCTGGATCTCTCATGCACGGGTCCTGTCTCTCGGGACTGTCTTTTTCGTCTCGCATTTTCGCTACACTCGATCTCTCGCCTCAAGCTCAGCCACACAGCGTAGGTTTTATTCATGCTGCGGTTGCTTTAGTGACTCCTGGCACCCGCACTATGCCACATTGTGTGTTATTCCGTGCCCCTTCACTTTTGAATGCTGCTCTCACTGCTGCTGCAGGGCCATTGATGACATTTTGTTGGCGCACCTGTTGGCAGAGTTGCCTCTCCTTCGTTTCCTGGACGTCTCACATTGTTGGAGGGTCACCTCAGCCTTCTGTGACTCGCACTTCACTGTTGCTTCAGGTGATACCGCAGACCTTGCTGATGCAGTGGCGGAGCATGCTTCTGCAACAGGAGCTGCTGCAGGGGATTTTTTTCCGTGTGTGCCAACTGCTGAGTGAAGCATGCTTCTGGTTGTCCACGGATTGTGTGTGTGGTGGCAGTTGGCATTCTCTGCTGGCATGTGAGGAGCTTCAAGATACTTCTGTGTTGTCACTTGTTTGTCGTTGCATTCGTGTTTAATTAGCATGACTAGCTGTCTACTTGGCAGGGTCTCTGCCTGTCGAAGGGGCTTGGCCACTTTGGTACTAGCCAGATGCTCGTTCCATTTGAGCATTTTTATTGGTAGAAATTTTTTTGCCAGTAGCGGCTGCGGCGTACTGCTATTCGGTGGTGCAGGGAAGCAGCTGAAACGGTTAGGGCTATTTGGATGCAATGTGGAGAGACAGAAAGTTGAGGCTGCCCTCATCCTTGCAGGTGCCACCAACGCCCGCCTCTCGCTTCACAATGTGAGAGAGCCTCCACTAAAGGTTTCTTTTTAGGCTGGGTTTCTTGCTAGGGGCTGTGGAGTTGTAACCTATGTTTCCAGTCCAGCGTTCTTGTTGGCTTGTTCGCAGGAGATGGCTTTGTTTGAAATGCCTCGGGTGTATGCAACAATGAAAGGCCTCGACATTTAAATGCTTACACACCTAGCGTCCTCGTGCGATTTCTGTCTGGCCCGTCACTGGCCTACTAGCTGTACCGCCGAAGCCTCGGAGCTGCTATTGGAGCTTTGGCAGTGTTGCGAGGCTGTTGCTGCAGTCCTCCGCCACTCAGGGAGCGATACGAAATTTTGTTTGAGGGAAGGAACTGCACACTGCTGCAAGTGCAGCTGCTGGCTACTGTGCTTTGCGTTTTTTCGTTTCTTGACGCAGGCAGCCATGGGCTGTTTACTGTGCCCTTTATTGACTATTTGCGTTCATCAAACATCTTTCTGTTCGCCCGGTAGTTCTCTATGGGCCCGAAGAGGAGGGTTGGAGTTTACACTAACTACTATTTTCCAAACAGTATGTGCAAATACAACTATTCGAGTTTGATTCATGCAGTTCGATGCCGCCAAGGGAATCCCTCTACCGCACAGCCGACGATTTCACTGCTTCGGCATTAGGGGGAATGCCAGCTCATCCATTGCATTGCGGGCCTTGTGTATGAGCTTTTTACATCGTTGCAGTTGCTGCTTCCATTCGGTCTTCCACTTCTGTGATAAGCGCGTTTATACGGGAAACTGACGCTGTGCCCGCACAGAAAAATATGAACCGGATACCCTGTAGCCCAAAATTTGTTTCCGTTTATGGCACAAGCACCGTCGCGATCAACCGATACTATATGCCAGGCAGAGCAGTTGTGGGTATGGGATTCGCCACTAGTGCTGTCCCTCAACCACGCTGATGGTGCACCAGGTGGAATGAGAGTCGTCGACTCTGGCTAAGGACGGTCGTGAGCTGCTCTAGTTTCAAAATACTAAAAATGGGAGTTCCCAGCATGCCAATTACCTCCCCTTCAAGTCTCTAGGCTTCCTGGACACCGCGGCACTAGAGCTTGTAGCTGGTGCGGAGAGGACGCAGTTGCAGCAGAGCATGGTAAGCGCCTGCTGCAGTGCAAACCTACATGCAAGAGCCGAGCCGTTCATGGCTAGATGTACTACCACTATAGACAATTGTTAACACACTTACTTGGCCATCGATCGCCAACCTGCGGGCAAGTAGAAGTATATGCATCGGCGTTAGACAGGTCATGCTGCACAGTCCTTGTTACAAGGAGCCTCTTAACCGATCATCGAATGCCCTCCAATACTAAACGGGAATGGAATGTCTCACGCCGAAAGAATTTCTACATAACGAAGTAAAATGGTTCGTTGTGTAGAAATTCTTTCGGCGCGCGGAGTGGCCACGGTGCCGTAAAACCAAACAAACTACAGCACGGGCTGAGGGGGGTACTAGCCATCTCAGTCTAATACAACCCTTCAAAAGGAGAACAAAACGTCTAATTAAAGTGCAATATCTTTTTCATGGCAGCGCAGCTGCAACACGCACAAACAGAGCTCGCATACAAGAAGCGGCCCCGGCAACTAATAAGGTCACTCGGGTCTGCTTGTTGCTGACACCAACAACGGTAAAGAAACATACCGAGGAAAATAGTAACAGGTTTAGGGTATTTGGAAGGGGAATCATACATCATTAAAAGAAAATGCTGCAGAGGAGGACGAGCTGCTAGTCCTACAGCAACAGCTACCGAGTCACTACACGGCACACAAAATACTTCGCCTAGCAAGGGGAACCAACTCCAGAAGAAGATGCAGTGAAGCATTTTAAAAGGAAAACACTCAAAACAAGCCCCTTAAATTATTTTTTCCGCCCGTTGGAAGTACTAGGGCAGAACCAGCCCTGAGCAGTGCGCATATTTAGGTGCCAGCAAGCCGTTGCACACTGCAACACCCTAAAAGCAAAATCAAACAGTCTTTCGAGCAAAACTTTTCTTTAGCAACTTATCTTCTACGTCAACAAATCCCGCTGTATCCGAGATCCCACAGCACCTCACATCCATTCATTGTTCGTTCTAGACACGGAGTGTGACAGGTGTTGCAAACGCAATTGGGCTAATTTCTATCTTTAGTGACTTTCCGACAAATATTTCGGCTGTTTCTTCTAGTTCCTAATATACTGTACTGCACAGCACTAAACTTCCTCCCTACATTCCGCCAACCCCCTAACCCCCAGCCTCACCCGTTGCTGCCGCCGACGTAGCGCTGAGACCTCGTGACAAAAAGCCCGGCTGTGGTGTGTTCTCCGTTACTTCAGTTTGACTCATGCAAATGTCGGGCAGTGTTAGATGGCTTGCTCCGAGTGGGAGGAATATGGAGGGAATTCTTTGCATGTGCGGGGTGTTTGTCTTGTTTCCATTGCTTGCCTATGCAATTGGCGTAATAGGGCTTATTGCTCTTTATTTTCTCATAATAGGATGCATCATACTTCTCTACGTGGCTCAGCTGGTTCTCAGTCGGTCTGCGCGCCTCTCAAAGACACAAGGGGTTGACACCAAGGCCCCTTTTTCCTTGAAAGGACGACATGTTCTGATAACCGGCGGTTCTAAGGGAATCGGATACGCCATAGCTACTGAGGCAGTAAAGAAAGGAGCAAAGCTGGTTACACTGGTTGCTCGCGATGCTGATGCACTTCGAGAAGCACAGGACAACTGCGTGGACATCGCAGACAAACTTGGATTAGGCGTAACCGTGCAAACCATCACGGCGGATTTGGTGGACCCCACAGCGTGCATTGAATGCCTTGATCGCGCAGTTGCCTTGAAGGTAGATAAAACACTCAGATATTGCACTTGCCGCCAGCTTTGTCAATGGTGCTCACTCGTGCATATCAATGCAGATGCAGGAAAGTCGCATGTGTAGGTATTTAGCGCACCAAGGTATCTGCGCCGTAGCTAATTATTGCTCTTGTTGCGCTGCCATTGCTATATTCATTTTAGTTCGGCGGTGTATGCGACTCTTTTCTCGCATCTGGTAGGGGTTGAAAAGGGAGTCAGCGGCCTGCGGCGATCTTGAGGGAATGCAGGAGGAAGCGCCAATAGAAGTATTTTTCTGCAACGCAGCTGACGTAGACCCTCGTCCTTTCTGTGCTATGGGGAACAGCAATATTCAGAAGACTATAGCGATGAATATGAGCACACCGTTCTTGCAAGTCAAACACATCTTGCCCAGCATGCTGAAGCGCAAGTTTGGGGCCATCTGTTTCACCAACAGTCTTGCTGCTTTTGTGCCAATATATGGGTTCTCCACATACAGCGCGACCAAATCAGCACTCAGAGCATTCGCTGAAGTAATTAATCAAGAAGTCGCTGGCATGGATGTGCTGGTTGCCAACGCCTTTTTGCCCAGTGTAAACACCCCAGGATACCAAAGGGAAAAACAAGTTCGCCACAAAGTAGGGGCAAGATGCACGGGACACCCCACCAACGGCACTCATAAACCCTAAGTCCTTATCAGCCACTAATGGCAATGTAAAAGCCACCTTTCTATCCATTAATTGTGCGCCATTACTATGTAGAAATACATAGAAACAAATAGGTGGGTTGTTATATTGCGTAGCGGTTCGAAAGGTGTCGCTGTGCCCAGCTGACCGAAATCCTGGAGGAAACCTCTAAAATCAAGCAGCCGCAGGAGGTCGCGGAACAACTTGTTGATCACTTACAAGCAGGTACGGAAAGCGTAAAACACATTTTCTTGTCGCCAGTGGAACATATGCTACACCCTGCATACATTTCAGTACAAGAGATACATAGTGCATTGGGACACTGTGCACAAATCCATCTTACATTCTGCAATCATATTCCCCGCGTTAAACATCACCATACTTTGCATACAGGACACATTAATCCATTGCACAGTCTGCACTGCGGAGAAGCGCCTTAACTTGGTTTCAACTTTTCCGCCTATTTATACCACCCGACAGAACCAGGGTTAATTCCTTGCCCAGTTTGTTGTAGTTTGTTCCTGTCTGTTTCTTCGTGGGTTTCCCAACAGGTCATCGCATCATTACTGTGGACTTTGAAGGCTGGATTTGTGCGCGCTTAAATGCGGGATTCTCTAGGGGTGCGCGCGACATTCACTGAGCATTGAATGCGCCTATGTGGTGTACTATGAACGAGGCTGGTTGGGCGTGTGCAGGGAATGTTGCCCCATTTACTTGCAGCTGTTCGTCTGCGTAAATTGAATTCATTCTGTCTCTTTGGGTTGTGCGGTGGTGATATCTTGTAGTTGAGAGTTGTAGTATGTGTTAGAGGCGTGAGAGTATTTGGAAGGAGGCAAGCGCTGCTCTTTTGTGGATTCAGCGGAGTCCCTTGCCAGCTTGTTCTACGAGTTCCTCCTAAGCGGCGTTTTCCGGTGGGCCTCCCTGAGCCTTTTGCATTTGCATTCTGAAAGTTGCACTATGCATATTTGCAGCACGTAGTGTCTATGGTAGTAAGGAGCCAGGATGTTCTTGTTAGGGCTCCTGGCTCTTTCCCAGCCCAGATTGCGGCAGCGTTGACGGACAGGATATGAAGGCGACATATATATATATATATATGTATATTTGTATTACACATATATATGTTTTGATACATATGAACGTATGCATATTCTGCAAATTTGTGCCGTTTGTGTGTCCGCAGCCTTGTCAGCCTAGGGCTCTTCCTTCAGTTTTTCTTCATTATCATACGAGAACAGCCTGCAGCGTTGCGACGGACAAAACTTGCTTGAAGTTCGCATGTTGTAACGTGCGTGATTTCTTCACATGTTGACACGAGAATGGATGCGTGGTATTTGCGTTTGCTACGTTCAAGGTTTTGGTGCTCAGGGGCACATTTGTTCTGAGGCGGGCGATGGTAGGCACACTGCGTGGACGTTAGCATTTGTTCAAGTTGACGAGGCGTCGCACCGGAGCATACTTACTTTCAGGTGCTCATACCTCCGGGTATGAACAGATTGCCTTCATCTTTCGATGAAGAGACTGTGCAGAAAAGGTAGATGAGAAAACTGGCTTGCACCTTCCGTGCCTGTCTCCGAAAGTGGTGTAGGAGTCGGGATGCGTTCTCCTCATTAAATATATGTGGGAACGCCACATGGGCCTGAAACCCATGCAACGACACTACTATCGTAAATTTTTTTGTACAGGGGTTTCTGTAGCAGGTGGGTAGCGTCGACGAAGCGCCAGAGAGTGTCAGGCATGATTTACAGTAAGCAGCCAACTAAGACAACCAGGCAGGTGGGCACCGCTCGTCGGCTATGGCGGTAACTAGTGGCCCTTTAGTTTAGCGGAGTTGGTTATTACCTGCCGCATGCTTGTGCAGACGTTCATTGAGCAACCCAGCCTTATGCATTAAATACGTCTTCTACTCCCTTGATTTCGAGCCTCGTGGATTTAGGGGCATTGACTTAAGTTGTAATTGCACTTATTTCTTCATATTGTGCAAAGCAGTTGAAACTTGGCTGTCGATGGATGAACTTGCTACCTTCGGTCTTTAGATGTGGACTGAAGGCTGTTGCGGGTTTTTTCAGTCTGCTAGTCGCTACATTTTCTATAGAAGAAACTTTAGCTGTGAAGGTAATGGGCGTTTTTGAACGCTTGAAGGGTGGTAGGCCTGTGCTTACTCAACAGCTTTTTTCTGCAACCGGGAATCAGCGTCGTACAGCTCGCACGAGAGGTCAAGTGGCCATCAGGGCTTTGCAGCCTGACTGATTAAACTTCAGCTACAGGTGCCTGCAAAAATGTGAAAATTTACAATACTGATTAAAAATAAAGTTTAGAGGGGAGCGAAAACAGTAGACTATGCAGAGTACAGTTCAAGGTTTCCTCTGGTCGAGCTGACTGCTGTCGGCTGCGAGGCAGGCGGGAGGGGATGCCTTGCGGGCGGTAGGCACGGTGCGTGACCCTTTCCTTCAATTATTTCTTCTCTATACTGAATTGTTACAAAAATGGGCTATTTGATTGCATAAAGAAAACTTGTGGGGGGTATTCGGGACGCCCGGCTCGTGCACCAGCCCGCCTGACCGCTCTTCCGAGCGCCATCGCGTCGAGTTGATTAGCTCTCGATGGTGCCGCCTGTCTCTGCTAGCCTTGCCTTCGGGGCTTTTTAAAAACAGAATATTCTTTTAGCCGGTGCCACCAGCAAGCGTATCCGTCTCGACGGGCACGCTGAGCGGTTTGCAAGGCAGCCTCGTGTGCAACAAAACACTGCACAACGCAGCTGGGTGCTGCTGCAACTCTTCGCTGCCTCAGCATCTTTTTATCCGCTTCTCTTTGTCTTTTCCTTCTTTCTTTCAGTGAAAGTGTCCAGACGGGGAAGCATATACCATTGTACTCTTGCCCATTTTCTCCGAAGGTGCGCGAGGGCTACAGCCGTCCACTGGATTTCACTACCTGTCCAGTGGAGGAGGAGTATAATTTGGTGAGCACAGCCTCTTTTTTTATGCCTCTCGTCTCACGATATACAAATTCGTGCAGAACTACCCTTAAGCCTCATTGATGACGACCGCCAGCGCAGTCCCCGGGGCACACTGCTTGCCTTCGGTCAGTATTAAACCGCCTTCCGCCCACTTGAGTGCCACAGCTTCTCTCCATTGTGATGATGGCGCAGTCAGATACCAGTCTTCTATGCGTCAAATGCCGAAGCAAGGAAAAAGTTTCAGCAGTGGCTCGGATGACGATGTTGACGCTAGTGAATTATGTCCGCACTACGACGAACACCACAGGGGGAGGCATTACAAACAGTATCTAAGGCAAAAATCAGCTGAAGCTCATACCATAAAGGAGAGTTCGCACCCTCCGCTATGGAGAGTCCCTATTGTTAGGCAGCCCCTTCCAGTAAGCATAGAAGAGTTCAACTCAGCAGAACCCCAGTACACAAGGTTTGTTAAGGCTCTGTGGTCGCACGCTAGGGCCACAGTTGAGGACAAGGAAGCAGCACAGGACTTTGCTCAGTCCCCAGTTGGCCAGGATTCGGTGCCCCAGCGCTGCCGAGATCTCGACGAGGCGGGCTGGAGGCGGAGGGAACTTTTGCAGCACTCTTGGGATGACCGGCCTGGAGCTGTAGGTAGACCGCTGAGTCCCACAATTATTCGACAGGGACCTTCTTGGCTCGTTGATGCTGAGGGTTACGAGGGACCCTTTGGGTCACCCGGTGACCTCCGGTCAAAGGGCATGGCGTATAACAGCAGATTCCAGCTCCCGACTCTCTCTTCCCTCATGAAGGCTAAACATGCGGTTTTTGTCAAAGCGAAAGACCCTAGACAAGCGCAAATGGTCTATGAAAGAAAGAGCATGTCTGCGCGGAGGTGCAGGCAAACACAGCGTTGGGGCGCCGGCCGTTGCCGGTCCTCTCCTCCTCAAGTCAACTCGCCCACAAGTACTCCAGGGAACCTGCCGATGCGGCATCAGCCACAGCAGCTCTCTCCTGCAGCTCCATCGCCTTCTCTCTTGAATCCTCCTGCTCCGCTACTGTCTCCGAACGCCTGTGTACGAGCGGGGCAAAGTGGGTCGCCCAGGGGAAGTTTGCCTTGCAGCCCCAGGACCTCTGCGCCGCCGTCTCCCGCCGGCTCCCCTAAGAACAGACCGACGGAACGAAGCCCCAGAAGCCCATTAAATCAACAGAACGAGGGTCAAAGTGCTGGCGAGGGTACCTGGACGGTGCACATTAGAGGAAAGGGGAAGTGCCAGTATCCAGAGAGCTATATTCGGTGGAAGAGGGAGCGGAAGCGAATGAGAGAAAGACTTAAAAGACTGAGAGCTGGAGAGATATTTACGGGTGATAGGCCAAAGGAAAGCTGTGCAGACTGTGAAAGCCCCAGTCTGTGTTGGGACCCGCAGCCTCTCACGGAGCACCTGCATGCTGTCCGCAGCTTCGGCTCTGCCCCAGAGGATGACGCCTCCTCAGGTACCGATCTTTCCTCCTCTTCTCAGCGAAGCAGCAGCATCAGCACTAGCAACAGTGATGGCAGCAGCAGAAGCTGCAGCCCCTCCCGTGAGGATAACTCCACCCACAAGTACAAGCTTCGCATTCCTGCCTATGGGAACTCCTTCCCGTCTGCGCCGTGTATGGCGGCCGGCGCAGCCCTCGTAGCACCAAGCCCACTGTATCCCTTTGCTGGATTAGCCCCCGGCGTTGCTGTTGGCAGCTATGTGCATGCCCCTTCAGGGCCGCCTGTACTCCACGGAGCTTTACGGCCTCTTCAGAGCAGCTTACACCCAGGGAAACCCCTTGGTTTGGGGAACAGCATGCAGCAGCATCCACCGTGGCTCGTACTAATGCCGACCATCGCAGGGACTGCGCTCATGCGTGCTCAAACTAGCTTTGTGCTACCTTCTCTTCAGAAGCAACAGATTTTGATGGGGCAACAGCAGGTGCAACAGGGGCAGATGCTGCTGCAACAGCTGCAGCACCAGACACTGCTGCAACAGCAGATTCCACGCAGCTATATGGCGGTACAGCTTCCAGCGCAGTCTTCACAGTCTGTCACCTTCGAACAATCGCAACAGCAGCAACAGCAGCAGCCGCCGATGTCGTGCGGAGTTCAGCAGGGAGCACAGAAGCGGGAGAGCACAAAAATGGGGGACCAACAGAAGAGAGAGCAGCTTTCCTCAAAACCGTGGGAGGGGTTTGCCAATTCAAGAGGGTCACGGGAGGAATGGAGTCGCAAGGAGGCCCCCTTCTTCCGGTTAAAAGAGCACAATGGCAGCGGCAGGCCCCACGTGCGATATGTCAGCGCACCACCCCCGGCAAGGCGCCACACAGGGAAAGAAGATCGCGAGCATGCCCTTCCGTCATCGCATGCTTCTGCAGCACAGCTTACTCTCAGCCCAGCTGCCTCCCCGGCAACCGGCGCAGGATGTAATATGGTAAAACAGGCGCTACCGCAAACACTGCTAACGCAGCCAATCGTGACTGGACCTTCACATCCACTCTTCGGGATCCCTCAATCGCTCTCAGCGGGGCCAGGAGTAGTTCAAGGTGTCGCTCAGGGAGTACCCGTGGCTGCAATACTCCGTGGTTCGCCTTTGTTGGTTTCATCCGGGACTCACTTGATGGCAGAGACACCACAACAAATACACCCTGGAGGTCCTTGCGTTTTCTCTGGAGCCGAGCGATTGCAGCGGCGGCAGCCAAAGGATGCTGCCGCTGTCAGCCACAGAAGTGCCTCTTGCAGCCCTACAGCGCCTCCTGTGGTTGTTGCGCAGCTTCCTGTTCTGCCTCTGCAGCACACTCCAGTTGTGGTCCAACAGCTTCGGCAGCAGCCGCTCTTGACGCAGCAGCAGCAGCAACAACTCACCATTATACAGCAGCAACAGCACCCTCTCCTCATACAGAAGCAGCCGCTCGTGGTACAGCGACAGCAGCAGCAACCCCTCGTGGTACAACAGCAGCAGCAGCAGCCTATAGCCACACAACAGCTGCAACCTGTTGCGATGAACCACACTCAGCAATCGCCACAGCAGAGTGCCGGTGGTTTGTTACAACTGCAGCCAGATGCCACAGTAGTGATACAGCAACAGCAACCTGGCATTGTAGTCCAGCAGCCGCCGATCATCACTCCAGAAGAGCGGAAGCCTGCTGCTGCATTAACACCAGAAAAACCAAAGACTCACTGGCTTTGGAGCTGCAACATCGACTGCGGAGCCAATTGTGGTGGAAGGAGCCCTGCAGCTAGCCACGTGGCAGTGCAGGAGCAGCCGCCAGCTGTGCAGCCGGACTGCAGAGAAAAACACCAACCGAAGCAGCGCCTACAACATACCCAAGCGGAGCAGCGAGCTTCACCAGAGGAAGCTTCTGGAGAGGCACCTTCAAGCCTCACACCCACAGCTGCACCAGTGCCACCTGCTGAATCAAGAGTTTCTGCAACAGCACAGCAGGTTCACCATCTCTCTCAGCAGCCTTCTGGTAGCGACGGCACTAGAGAAGCAATGCAAGGTGTCTCACAGGCATGCCAGTATCTCCAACCGCCACAACAGCAGTTGCAACGACTTTCCCCTAGGAAACAACAGCAACCTCAAGAACAGCAAAAGGTGCGCACACCGACGGCTCTCTCCACCAGCAGCCCCATTGCATTTGTGCCTACTGCTCCAGGCACCCAGAACATAGTCGCGCCAAGTGCGGCGGTGGCTTGCATGGAAAGCCAGCAGATTCAGCAGCACCAGCAGCCACCGCAACAATGCAGGCAATCATCGTGTTGCAAGCCCCACCGGGGGGGAGCTGTAGCTGAACAGGAGCCGCCCTTCAAGTTCTTACCCTTCACATTTATCTCACCAAAACGAAATATCGCCTGCGGAATGGGAAAGAAAGTAACCTTCAGAGAAAGAACGACCACTGCTTCTTCACCGATGCATCAGCAGAAGCATCAACAGCAGGAGCGCCAGAGCTGCTGCGGTAGAACTGGCGGCGAACTTTCAGCGAGCGTATCTTGCAGCATATAAGCTGCATTATTCGTTTCAATGCATTTAGCTCTTTATTTCGGTGATTGCTGCTTCAGCCCGCTACTGCGAATTGTTCCGGCACGGAGCAGCAAGAAACAGCAAATAGATTTTTATCTTAAAATGAGCTCCCCTGGAATGAACGGCAGCATATGCAGTATATACATGGTGCATGTTCCCAGCGGTTCTCTAACAACAGGCAAAAGAAGAGAGACTAATGGACGGCCTGTTGGAACAGTGTAAATTAACTTCTAGGCGTAAGCCTGCATTCCCTTTTAGCTCCCTCAAGGTGGATAATGCTTTCCATGCCAAGTTGCCTCTACAGATGAATGTAAAACTGCAGGCCTATGCATACATACCCTTTTGTCGGGGAGGAGGCCAGCACACAAGTACGGCGTAGTCTAATTGCAGCTCATATTTGTTCGGGTATATACAACTACCATGTGTCACCGTATACACGGAATAGTATACTGTGGAGTATGCAGTACAGCTCCACGGATTTTCTTTATCCTGAGTACTATCTTGAGCACTATCTTTACTCGTGTCTCTTTCCGAGAAGTTGAAATAAAAGGGATTTGTGCACTAAGGCAATGGGAAAGCAAGCACCAGCAAATATGGGGCATGCTTTGAGAACAAAACAGACGTGAACATAACAGTTAGAACGGTCGCTCCATCACTCTGCCCGTGCACATCACGCAAGAGCCCCACGACTGGCCTTCCACCAGCAGGTCGCCTGAGAGCATCAAATCATAAGACGCAAGTTCCCCAAGGGGAGCTCACACATAAAACTGTAGGTATACCATAGGAAAACGCGCAGAGAAAAGCACGCCAACGGCCTGGTTGGAGGCAATGAGAAACGAAGAAGTCTTAAACAGCAAGAAAGAGAAGCAGCCATGATTGCAGGAAACAAGTTTCTACTGGCAAGCTTGCATACCGCTCATACAGAATGATACAACCAAAAATGAAGTACTATTCATGCGTAGAGTGGTATGACATTCAAATGATATAGCGCTCATTAAACTGCATGTGTACAGCTGACTTCCTATGCGCTGTACTTCTAATTTGTCATATTTGTACTTTGCACTCTTGGAAATGGTATCTCACTCAGGGGATTCCACACTCCGCATCGTCCACAGAGTATTTTGTGCTTTAGCAGGTCCTCGAGTTCCCTTTGTGTTTCTTTGTTTTTCTCATGTGTCTCGGCCACATGGAGGGAAAGAAGCCGTAACTGTTGCGAGTAGTTTTCCTCTGCAAGGCGAGCACTTGCTGCTGTCTCCGTTGCAGCTGCAACTGCAGCAGCAGCAGCTGCTGCTGCTTCTTCCTTCGACCGACGCAGCTCGTAACGTAAAGCAGCGCGCTGATCCTCAAGTGCATGAACAGCCTGTGGCACCACAAGCACCAACGGATGATCACAACAGTTAACCGGACCACTTTGTAAGTAGGCAACTAGCCCAGGCACGCATTTACAATACTGTATCACGAAGCACACACCACATACAGACACAGACACATGCCTTGTGGCTATGCGCGAATCGTTATAGCGATAGTTGCAAATTCATGAGCAAGTCGCGATATGCAAAAATGGACACAGATGTCTGTTTTCTAAAGTGCTTCAGTCCTGTAGGTCACCTTGAAAGCGCTGCTGAGTTGCATCTTCAGAATGCTCAGAGCTGCAGCTTCGGTGTGCAGCTTTTGTTGCAGCAGCAGTAGCTGCTGTGCGTACACCCCGTCTCGCTCTTCAGCAGGAAAGTGAAGGCCTCTGAATGTGAGCAACAGCAGCAGCACACGCACCTGCTAATGCAAACAAAAAACGAATGATGTAGCTGTCCCACCACCAGCAGCATATGACAGTATCAAAAGGCGCTAACAAAGCTAAGGGCAAACGGTTGTCCTACATACATGCACGTCAGAGGTGTCCCACGTGCCAGTACATTTGCCGAATTTGCTGTAATATTGCCAGCAGAGAACGCGGCACCCTCTGCAGTGGCATCACCTGAACGGAACACGATGACATAAAGAGGGGAGAAGCTCTCAGCTGCTCCACGGTAGGTAAAGGCAGCAGCAGAACGGGGTGGCAGAAAAAGCTTGAAGTCAATCCGAACCTGCAGCACTCGAGCCCTTAGAGGCAGTAAATGAGACAGACTCTCCAGCAGGACAGGCAGGGACAGCAGGCATAGGCAGCAAAACGGCACCACCATCCACCTGAGCGGAGTACCGGCTGCTGCTGCTCCGTGTAGGGGGTGCATCGGTGGTGATACCTCCCGCTGTGCTGCAGGCGTGTCGTTTAAGCCTAACGAGCTCTGCCTGAAGCAGTGCCACTGCGGTCTGCGCTACCCGAAGCTGCGCAGCTCCCTGCAGATAAGAACCCAAATATACAGGAGGGAAATATGGAGGAGCTTTCAAGTGCCGAGCAGGAAGACAGCAGTTCAGCAGCACAGCAACCACACCACACCACAACATACCAGCGAGGCAAGGCGTCAGCGAAGAGTTGCTGATCTGGTCTCGAGACAGACTACACTAAAGGCTAGTCAATGAGAGAACACTACATACTGATGGGTTTCCGGCAACTATAGAGCCTCACCTTGTTTGCTTCAGCCATTCGCTCCTCCAGAAGTCGCACCTCAGCCGCCGCCGCAGCGACTTCTGCCTCCGCCGCCTACAGAAGGAGAAGGACAAAGAGGAAGGCGCCCTACGGAGTCAAGAGGTTGATGCAAGGGCAGCAACAGCAGCAGCGGCAGCAGCAGCACTCTTAGAACAGCGATTCATTCACGGGAAACCCGTTACGAATGACATGTGCAAAGACGAAAACGATTGATGAAGAGGGATGGAAGGCAATATGCCCGATCGCAAGCTCGGACTTGTCGTTTGCTTATGACTTGTCGGGCATCCCGCGCAGAAATCTTCTCGCTGGAGCTCAAGAGAGCAGCGCGGGCCTGCGAGACGCACCTGAGACCGCTGATTTACGGCGCAGGCACAGGCACCAATGCAAAACCCATGTGCCTACAGCCCACAATGAAAATGACCGTGGCAACCGCAAGAAGCAAGCAGGAGCCAAAAGGGAAAATAGCTACACAGAGGGCAGCATCACCAAAATGACACCGGTAGTTTTGCCTTTGTAGATGTATTTTTGCCTGCTTTGTTGAACCATACTATGAATAGTGACTAGGTTTGAGCACCAACGGGAAATGGTCAGTGCGATCCAAGCTTATTGCAAACACAAAGACAATCAGGACACTCAAGAGTGTGCCAGGGGCGTTGGCCTACACTACAGCGACCTCTTCCACAGCCTCTGATCTAAGAACGGCATACGAGGGGCAACGCTGCATCTGCAGCAGCAGCTTCGAGTGCTGCAGTAAACGGTATAATCCTCCGTCTGCACTGCTCACTGCGCGCAGTGCCTGCAGTAGCGAAAGTGTGCAGGGCCCTGTGCTGCGACACCCAAGGGAAAAAGCAGCAGCACAGCAAAGGTAAGATACCCACGCAACTACGTAGCAGCAGTTCGTCCTACGAGTAGGCAGCAGCAACAACTGAAGCGAAAACAACACACCGAAAGGTTGGTGCACAAGCAGAAGAAACAGCTGCATCACCTGCGGCTGCTCTTACTGCTGCTTTTCGTTGCAACCGCCACAATCCAACTGAATTACCCGGAAAGCAGCAACAACTGTCCATCAACTAGGTCAGCTGGGCGGCGCACACGGCCAGAAAGGCAGACTGCCAAGCTGCCTGATCACAGCACCGGGGCAAGGGAGGTAAATATACAGTTGCTGCGCCCTCTGGGTTGTCTGTGGCTGGTCCACGTGCAATGCCTTGCCTAGTCGGGAGCAGATGCAGACACAACGAACAGCTGAGGGTAAAACCCACGGAATGTCTGCAAGAGCGCATCTAGGTTCTCGACTAGAAGCTGCAGCAACCGCTCCTTCGTTGCCTTTGCTGTTCCACGCCATCCAGATAGTGTGAGGCCCGCTGCTGCTGCCGCCCTCCGGCAACTCCTCAACTGTTGCATCCATTTGTTGCATTCAGATAGAGGAAGTTCTTCTTCGTCCATCCGCTGCTGCGAAGGCGGCAATGGCAAACAGCTGCGCCACGGAAAAGGAGAATTTGAGTATCCGTGTTGGCGCTGCCGCTGCTGTTGCAGCACCAACCGTACTGATGCGGACTGCAACGCAGGAAGAGGCGGAAGTCCGAGGTCCTCCTGCAGCTGATGTTGCAGTTGCGCTTCTTGAAGCTTCTGCTGCCGCTTTTCAGGCACAGTTGGCATTTCCTCATCCTGCTTATCTTGAGGATCTTCTAGTGCAGCAGCAAGCTCAGCAAAATGCTGTTTAGACAATACCCGGGTGTCTGCAGCAACGTAGTCGTCGCTGCCGCTTCTGTCGCTACTGCTTCTGGCCTCCATGAAGGCCGATGCAGCATTGAAAACAGCGGCCAGAGCTGCTGCGCCACGCTGTAACTCCTCCAGCAGCGCCCTGAGCACCAGCAAAACGGCACTCGCCAGTCAACGTTACACAGTCTCATTTTCTCTGTAGGCAGCATCGGATCGGCACTACGAAAAAAAAGAGACCACCGCACTAGCAGCAACATAAGCAACGGCGGCGGGAAGCCGCAATGGATTTGCCACAGGCAGCACTCCTGAGCTGAGAGCTTGGCTACCCCAAAACCCAGCCCCTAGATCCTAAACTCGAAACTCCAGAACGTGGGCTCCTTGCCCGAAAGGATCCGCAATGCTGCCGTTGTCGTTTCCTTGCATTGCATCCAGCTGCTGCCGCTTCTGTCGTTGCTGCTGCTGGGGCCCGCTTAGAGCGTCGTGCTGCAGCGAGACGGCTAGGAGAGTCAGAGAAACGAATCGACTAAAATCAGCATTCAGCTTTTCAGTTTCCTTCTGAAAATAAGAGAACATATAGACATGAACACAGAGCAAGCTCAAATAGTCAGCAGCTTCTGTGGGGAGCAGCAGCCGACAGCATATCCAAAGAGCAGCAGGTGTGAGCTGCTGGAGCAGCAGCAAGTAAGAAAAGCAGCCGGATACTCTTTGCTGCTGCTGCTTCACACTCGAAAGGCAAATTATGTTTGCCTCCCGAGAGTGCAGCAACAGCAACAACAAGAGGAGGATGGTGCTGAATAGGGGATCGCGGTACGGACGTGCAATTCCTCTGTAAAAACATCGGAGCCACTGCGGACCCGCCGAGCAAGAGTTTCAGCGGCACTAACAGCAGCGGCGGCAACAGCGCGCTCTAACAATGACGACACCGTTGCAATTGACGCCACAGAGTCAATGGCGGCCCGGCGAGCCTGAATACCGTAAATGCAGACAGCGGCAGAACCTGCAGCAAAGTCAGCAACTGGCTACAGTGAGCAGTCATTCACCAGCGTCACGCACTGCCTCCCTGACAGCGGCTCTTTGAACAGCCAGCAGGTGCAATGCCTGTTACCAGCACAGCATGAAGCGATACCAGTGGAGCAGCAAGTTGAAATAGTAGCGAGTGGGGACAACAGCACGTAAAATCATAAACATGCAGAAGCAGACCAAATGCAAAAACAGATCACCGTCTAACCTGCCGCGTTGCAATTCTTATCCGCCAGGCCAGACCAAGAGACAGTGGCAGGCGGTTGGCCGGTGTTTCTGCATCTGAGGAGTCCAACCCGTCCTCCGATAGTCCCTCGCTACCCTGTTCTGCCCCAGCTACTGTTGACACTTCCAGGCCTGCTGCCCAACACTGCAAAACGTGTTGTAGATCTCCCAGAGCTGCAACAATGAGCCGCAGCAACTCCTCTCGTGCTGCTGCGGCTGCTGCTGCGGCAGTAGCATAACCGCCAGAGGGCAAGTCCAGACAGCGCAGCAGGGGCAGCCGCGTGTAGTCGCAGCCAAGCAGGGTGCTATAATAGGCGACTATTTGCTCCTGCTTTTGTTGTTGCTGCTGCTCCCGAAGCATAAGCTGCTGCCGGTCTTCCATGGTCCTGCAGAAACAAAAGGACGCAAAACACGCGTCCAGAGCAGCTTATCTGACCACAATAAGAATGTACACCAGCAGCAGCGTTGAAGCAGCAACAGCAGCAGCAACCGCAGCGAAGGAAGTTACCAATTTTAGGACAGCAGCAGCAGCAAATGCAGCGAACGGCTGTCTCTCATGGCGCCCTTCGTGGATGCCACAGAAAACATCGGGTACGTCGCAGAGCCGCCACTGCAACTACGGACGTACTGTTGTAGCAGCAATTGTTCCTGACCACGAGCATGTTCCAGTTGTTGTTGCTGCTGCCTTAACTTCTCTTCTTGCCGTTGGTTAAGGCGCTCATAGTGCCTTTGCAGCTCTGCGTAGTCTGCTGCATGCTGCTGTTGCTGCTGCTGGGCTTCCTCATGCTGTTTCTGCAACAGGCTAATCGTGGCCTCGAGTTGCTGCTGCTGCTGCTGCTGCTGCTGCCTTTCCTCAAATGCCTCCAAGTGTAGTCGCTCGTTCTCCTCTATCTTGAGCTGCAGCTCCTCCCGTAGAACCTAAGTCCCACAGCAGCTCAGCAAAGCAGCAAAACCTGCGCCAGGCTTTGCAGTCTCGCAAAGCTGTCTATGTCTACTTTCTCTGCTTCTTCTGTTGTGTTGCCATCTAGCTGTGGCACCAAGACACGAACTTCTACTCTCGCAGCACCGCATGAGCACATTCACCGCCTGTAGCGCAGGAGCAGACATGTAGATTTTTTGATTACTACGAACAGTAGCACACCAGCAGTAAGACAGGAAAGCATACCTCCACTTGCTGCTGCAGTGCCTTCAATTCCGCATCTTTAGCCGCTGCGCTGCCGCCCCCCAGCAGCGACAACCCCCAACTACTTCCTGGGGCGCCTCCAGCCGTAGAATTTGCGGCTCCCGTTTTGAGTAGCAGCAAATGCTGCTGTTGCAATTGCTGCTGTTGCTGCTGCAGTTGCTGTTGCTGGCGCTTTAATTCTCGCTGAGCGGTGTCCAACTCATCCAGCAGCTGGCGTTGCCTGAATTCCCCCAGGGCGACCTGCTGCTGCAGTTGGCTCACAAGCCCCTGCGGCTCTTCTTGCTGCGGTTCTTGTTGCTGCTGTTGCTGTTGGTGCTGCTGTTGATGCTGCTGTTGACGCTGCCCCTGCCCTTGTTGTTGATGCTCAAGCTGCTGTTGCTGCTGCTGTTTCTGCTGCTGCCGCAGGGCCTCCTTGAGCAGCGCGTTCTGCTTCTTGAGCTGCCTGTACTTCTGACTTAGGCGCTCTACCGCTTCCCAATCATGAACTGCCCCAAAGTGAGATGATTCTGTTGCTGTGGTTGCGTTTGGTGCTCCAGCTGCTGTATCTATTGTTGCTGGCGTCGTTGAATCTGCTGTTGCTGTTTCCGGCTTTGCAGCCGTAGTTGTTGATGAAGCACGAGGAGAAGGGCTGATAGGCTCGATGACACAGCCAGTAGTAGCTGTTGGGACTTCCTTTGCCTGTTGTGGGGTAGCACGAGCAGCAGCAGCAGATGCATTTAATGGACCAGTCTTGAGTGTCATCTCCGTCAAATTGGCATCTGTTTGGGTTCCTGACAAACCTCCAGCAGAAGACATAGCACAGGTTGCTGTAGCTGCTTCAACGAAACCAGTTCTTCTCGGTTTCGCAGCTGCAGCCGCAGCTGCAGATGCTGCTGCTCGCGCAGCTGGCTCAGAAGGGAGCGAGGCAGCAGCAGCAGAAACAGCAGCAGCGGTATTCTAGCTTAAGTCGCGCACGCGGTGGAGAACGTAGTTATATTCGATGCAACCTGGAATATTTGACCCCTGGATAAGATGCGTACTTAATAGTTTAATGAATATTTGTAGCTACAAACGCAGCAGGTGAATAGCTGACATCACCTAGTGCCGTGGGAAGCTGCGCAGAAGTGAATTACCTGGAGAAGTTTTCGAGGAGACTCCAGCGGCAGCATGAGCGCTAGGCGCATCAGGATCGACGGCAGAGGCAGCTGCAACTTCGTCGGGACTCCTACAAACCGGCGTTGCGTTGCACGCAGACGGATCGTGGGGTCCCGATCCAGGCAAGTGACCTTCTGGCGCAGCAATTTGTTCGCTGTGAAGCCCAGGAGTATGCAATATTCTGGGGTCAAGATCCAAAGAAGTAACTGAGGCGACTCGTTGCAGCCCGCTCGGCTCTCCTGGTGCGTTTGCTGTACGGACAGTTGTTGAATCCCCTGCTGCAGGAATCATCTGTGCAGATTCCGCTGCAGATAACGGTGTTGTTGCCGATGAATGCGATCTAGGCGCTGCACAGACCTCCTGCGCAATCTTTTGCAAAGCATGCGCTACTGCCACAGGGGCAGTTGCGGCGGCACCAGCAGCAGCAGTAGGGACATTGGCAGTCGCAGCAGCGCAACCACCACGATCCGCACCCAGAGCAGCAGCAGCGTCAGCTAGGTTGGCAAGCATATCCGCGTCTAAGGATATCGGGGGGCCCTTGTATCTGCTGCTGGTGCTGCCCTTGCTAATGCTTCTGCTGCTGCTACTGTTGCCATGCTGCACCAGTTCAGCAAAAGAACCGGAGCCTTCCCATTGCAGCGCGTTTCCCTCGTCGAAACGGGGGCATCCACCATCAGAACTCCTCAAGCCTTCAATATTTTGCTGCTTGTGTTGGTGTTTCGCCTGTTGGTGCGGCTTTTGCAGCTCGGGTTGATGTCTGGCTCCCGATGCAGACTCCCAATCTCCAAATGCGTCAGTATCCTCCAGCGTAGAAGCAGCATGTACTGCTGGTATTGCTGCTGCTGCTTCTGAACTGGTGAATTTCGTAACGGATGAATGGCCGATTGAGGCGCGAAAGGGGCCGAAAAGAGCTGCTTCATCTCCAGGCGAAGATTCTGCTGCTGAAGCGTAGTGATGTTGTTGATGCGGCTTTTGTTGCTGCTTCTCCGGCTGTGCTGCCTCGCGGAGAGCTTCTGCCCTTGCAAATACATCGGAAAGTTCATCTAATGGGGAAGACATACTGTGTGTACCTTCCGGTGCTGCATGCGCCCTTGACTCGGTTGCCGACGTCCCAACTGTAGCTGCTCCTCGTGCTTGTGATGCCTCTCTTGCCGGCGGAATGTTTAGTACTATTCATCTGGGAGTGATGAGGTATTTAAAAATCTGAGGTGTACGGACTTCTGCAAAGCGTAGCCGCCGACCACTGGCGGCCGGGCGCTCCTTCTCTCAACCCAGACTGGATGCCTGGACGCTGGCGGCTGTTGCGATTGCTCACTGTCTTCCTTACCTCACTAAAACTTCAATTTTCCTTCTAATTAAATTGCTAAAATAAATTCAATGGAGGGATTAACAGCTGCCGCGCAGTCCGCAGTGCCACGGCACGTCGGCTGCGGCCCGAGGCAGTGTAGAGTCGGTCGCTTAAATCGAAGGTGTTTATTCACCACGGGAACTCTTTACTCCCTGTAACTACAAAACATTAAACAGCTTTTTATTGGTTGTTGTTCAGACCTTTGTTTAAATGAATTGAGCTGCAAACGACAGTCAATGAATTTGTTGCCGCCCTCCGCTGCCCACATATCGGCAGGCTTTTAGTCGCGCATGCATGTTTTTATCCCCCATAAAGTCTGGGCTTAACATGATAGAACTGTTAGTCGCCCGAAGAACGTCTTTCTTCGCGGCCTCTTGCCACAATAGCACCTCCAAGCGCACCATCCCCAGGGGTCCGGCGCCCGCCGCCACGAGCGCAAAGAAGTTGCATACCAAGATTTAGATCACATTAACGCTTCCCTCTTGCACTGCCACGTTCTCGTCTATGTGCAAACCCACGTTAGCCCTCAAAATCCGGTCAAGATGAGCTGTTAGCAGGCCCCTCGCACTAATCTTGCCACTTGCAGCTGCTCTGTACAGTTCAGGGTTTGCCTCGCATGTTCCAAGGCTTAAAAACTGATGAAACATTCAGGCAAATACTGTAATGCCGCTCCGAGAGAGGCAAAAAACCACACAAAACACGGACAGAGACAGTCCGAGTAGTCCGGGTGGCGCTGTGGCGGCAAACCCAAAAGAAAATACACCCACAGTGTTACATTCAAACAGCATAGGTGTAACCTGACCTAACTAAACCCCTTAAAATCATCTCATAACTCTCTCCACTGCAACTGAGGCAGCAAGCCCATCAGTTATGAAGAGATGCATTGTGGACGTTTCACACCATGTATTACAGCATGCCACAGAAACAACTTGTGCGGCGAGGAGGTTGAAGCGAAGCGCGAATTGCTGCAACATCCCCTTCCCCCCTACCCTACCATGGAAAACGAAAAGGAGACTCACGCTGAACAACTACATGGTGAACTTGTCCTCAAGGGATTAAGGGTTACGGTTCCAGCTGGAGGAGGATGAACACGCTTCAAACATGTTATCCCATTGAGAGTACAAAGTGTTCAAATCATCCCAGACAAAAAGAAACCTTCGCTGATCCGCGGCAAGAAAAGAGTGAAAAGCGTAGGGAGGGGAAGAAACCGCCAAGGCAGAAAATAGCAAACGCACGAGTGTACGAAGTCGTTCGCTGGTCTCGAACTGGAATGACTGCCAGTCCACCATTTCGCTTCTTAGCTCTGTGTTTCGGTCTTCCCTTGCTGCTGCCTTCGCTGCTCGCGTAGTCTCATAAGATCCAATAACTGAGAATTAACTTCTTTGTAGGCAGAGGGCTCGGCCTCGTCCGCACTAGTTTTGTGCGACTGTAACTGGTGGCCTCCCATGCTTGTATCTGCCTCATCTACGGTCAGTGCAGCTGGTGCATCTGCAGCTGCAGCAGCTGCAGACAGAGACGCTGGATTTGCAAAGGAAGCTTCGCTAGGGGCGCCAGCAGCAGCAGCTGCTGCTGCTGCTGCAGGGGTAGCGGAAACCACGGGTGCGCCTGAAGGAACGGCGTTAGAGTCTTCTGATGGTTTCTCGCCCCGCTTGCTCTTCGAGTCCGCCATTTGCTGGCGCTCAACGAATTCAAAAACTGAACAACGGCGCAGGCAAATGCCAGAAAAAGTCAATCCTTCAACTCATGCCCCAAACGGAGGGAAACCCCAGCGCCTAACGAGTGTATTAAATGCCTACAGGAAGTCTCTCGAACTACCATGTCTCATATGGGTTCGGTGTGGCTGAGCGGCAGCCTGGGCTACACTAGAATCCCTACTACGGTGAGACTGTACGCTTCCAGTTGGCTAAAAAGGTGTAGAGTGTGCGTACACTCGGACTGTACAGCAATCGGGTCGCTAAGGACTCGCGTGCTCCAAGACTTCAAACAACGGCCGGTGAGCGGATCGATGGCGCACACATGAGGCAGAGACATGACCTGAATATGGAACGAAGGACCTGGCAAGCATGTCAAGATTAACCCGAAGGGTCATATGGTATGGCGTATAGACAATGCAAAGCAATAGGAAACAATGTGAACTGAAGCCACTTACGCGATACATGTCGCAGAAAATTTGGCCTTCTTCACATCGATCTGTTCTTTGCCAGAAGATGAAGAAGTCTTTGATAAGATCCTGAGCAGAAGCGGATGCACCCGAAGCCCGGCAGAAACAACATGAGAATTTAAGAACACTCTTATTAGTGCTAATGAAAAGGTTGGGCTGCACGCAACATCTGAACGGCTATAAGGGGCTCCCATGAGGTTGCATGCTGTTCAGATAAAGAAGATTCTATTCCTTCCTCCGCTTTGCATGAGTTCAAAGGTGACAGTCTAGGATCCCCCGATGCGCTCCCTGGAAAGGCACCAGGTGCAGATCACCTGAACAACCTCCGCCTTCCAAACGTCTCTGTTAAGTCGGAGGGATTCAAATGCATCCACCTGCTGAATGTTCACCAGAAGCCATTTGTTCTGCTCTCGGCCCAACTCTCTCGCCTAGCAGCACAAACAAGCATCAAAACGGCGCCATGTGCTAAGGAGCTCCAGGGCCGTCACGAATGAACCAAAACACAGCATGCCAAGAAGATATGGAATAGCTCCTAGAATGTAACTGCACCACATTCAAAAAGAAGCACAAGCAGCAATGTAGCTACTACACTCGCACAGCGGCACGACCGCGCGATACCTACGCAGATATTGGTCTACAGATATATGCATGTATGTATGCATATACAAGAATATGCATATACACGCAGACTACACTTATAAGTTCTAGTTGCATACAAGCAGGTACGTGCGCAAAATACACGTGCACGCAAGATATTTCACAGCAGAGATTGACAGAAACTTGAACATACATGGGAATATTTATATGCACAATAGAAAAATCAATAAGGTAGCTCTATATCTGTGTATACATACTAATCACCCTTATCTACGTCTGTTTATGCAAAAATTTACAAGTTCAGATGCATATGCGCCTTACACGGGCAAATGGCTCCTGGCACGATAATCCCCCAGGCAGTTCAAATAAGTCCCGAAATGCCACCGTCCCAGCAGACGAATCCACGGCGAGAGCCGTTACATTTCGTTGTGGAACTGCGTTCACCAATACAGCATACCACGATATGCACACATACCTCACCTTATACTCTACTGCCCAGCTCCGGCGCTTTCAACGAACACAGTCAGTTTGAGAGCAGCGCAAGGAATAGCAGAAATGCACGGCAAGAAGCAGCATACACCAAGACGTCCCTAAGCAAGACACAATAGGTGTCCTGAGGGAGCGCAACCACCGTATGCAGATCTACAGATGCAGATTTTCATGGAGATACACACACAAATACGTCAAAACGAAGCACAGCAGTAATGAGCCTACAACCAGCAGAGCTTGCAGCCGCTTGGGAAGGGTGAAACGATGGGCCTGCGACAGCAAATCAACTTGTCACAAGCAAGCCACAGCAAGATGAAGCAGAACACAAGTGCTGGCAGCGCACAGTATTTGCAGAGCACGCACAGTATTGATCCGTACAATGCACACGCAGATCAACCATCACCATGTGACCTGAAAACGAATATACACAATTCCCGCCCAATTACATACACATATAATGCAGCAATAGTTATACTACACATGAAACATGAAAGAGCGGACGGGAGAGCTCACTGAGCAGTGTTTGCGAATATTCCGGATCCGGGGCCCTCAGACCCTCCCCTGGGTCCGATAAAGAGACCCCGTTATTCGCTGCTACACTGTCAATGTAAAGAGAGGCAGCTGCATTAATGTCACCCTTTGCTTGCTGAGCAGAGCACGCAGAACGACCCGAAACAGGAACAACGGTGGGAAAGCCCAAGCACCAGGCCAAACCCTAGGTACACAAATAAACACCGTGGTGCACCGTGGGCTTTTGAGCTGTACAAAGAACAGGAGACAAATGGATGGAGAAGACTGTCTCAAGGAACGCGCAGAGTGTTCGCGATCACCTCTAGGAAACGCCTTGCCGTGTCGGCATCAGGTATTCCTGACCACACGAGACATACACAGGCAGAAGAGAGCACGCAGAATTCAAAGATCAGCTCCCTGTAGCAAGTGATTTAGCAAGCAGTCACTACGGCTTTCCTCCACCTTCCAGGCAGGCCAGCACAGAACCCAGCCGTAATTCAAACCAATTTCAGACGGGCGGCCTCAACAGGAACGATGCGTGATTTCTCGTCTGCGCACTGATATGCTCAGCAGGAGCGAGGGTTAAGTTACAACATCGGCATGCGTTTCCACTGAATCTTAGAGCCAAACAGCCACTTGCCCTCCCCGGAACTCAGAAGCATCTTTGTCTGCGGTTAGAGCGTGCCTGTGTATACTGCAGCCACTTCTAACCAACTGAAATCAGTAGTAGGCAGTGGGAATATGCAAACTCACCAGCGACATCCATTAGCACTGGAATTGCCTCGGATGGGTCCATCGTTACTCTCTTCTCGCAGCTGCTGAAGTTGGTGTTGCTACCAGTGGGCAGGCAGGTTCAAGCGCGGCGCCTAGAACCGTGAGGCTTTGTGTCTGGGGTTTAAAATGCCGTTTAAATTACTCAATTGATTGTGCGAGAACACCAAAATCAACAGCTGCTCCTGCAGCTAACGTGCTGCAGCTCTTGCGCTGTTCAGTTGCCGTGGGGCCCCCCAGTTGGCAGCAGGCTCAGCAATTGCTCACTTCACAGTGCCTCACTTTGCAGAGTCACCACTATCACCGCTATTCAAAATATGCTGCCAACCGACTTTTCCAAATGCTCCATTCGAGTGCAGGACTTCTGCTAATCTGGGAATTGATTCTTTTTGAGTGCCTATAGGAATTCACTGCAAGGCGAGCCGCAGCAGCAGTAGTGTATCATACAATATCATAGCAATGCGTACAACGTTAGTGGGCCCATGAAGTGTGTGTATTTGGTGCTGTGTAGGTTTCACTCTCTGGAGAAAGAAATGCATTCGCAGCGACGGCCTTCGCCCTGAGCCTGGACCGTTGCGAGCTGCAATCAAGCCAAAGCCGTAGGATAATGGTTCCGCGCACAGCAGCTAGCCTACCCTCCAGTCCCAGGGCGCCCTGAGCGCAAAGGCCCAAGGGCCTGGGTCAGGGGTGGAGGGGAGGGTAGGCGCCCTGCAATGGAGTGTCAACGCACTTTGCTCATAGTGTTGCTGCACGGCAACCCGGCATGCAAGCACAACAATGCCCCCCCTTTGCTGCATGCACCACCACTGTAGAGGATTAATAAAGATGTACTGGGCCCAGAGTAAGTAGCCTTCATGCACATAGAAGTAGTTGCACCCGCTTCGGGGGAGGTGGCGCAGAAGTACCACCTGCGCGCCATCGAGTGCCTCTTCACCCAGGAGGGCAGAGTGGGATGGTTCCTGCCATACATGCTGCTGCAACTACAGAGGTTGTTGTTTCTGCAGGTCCATCGGTTGCTCCTTCTACATTTCCCCCTGTTGCATATATTGCTGCAGCACCTCTTGCTGCAGCACCTCTTGCCGCAGCACCTCTTGCTGCAGCGTCCTCTGCCGCCACATCTCGTTCTGACGCATCTCTTGCTGGCGTACCACTTGCTGTTGAGATTCCTCTTCACCTGGCTGCAGCTTTTGCTGCTGTTAACGCCTAAAGAGGACGGACGCAAGTCTTGGTACGCTAATCAGCCGTCAAGACGAACGCCGCAATGTTGCGCACACTTCCCAGCGGCGAACCCAAAGTTCGCGAGTGCTGCAACAGATTCCATGTTGGCTTTCACCAGGTTGGCCTGTTCAATAGCCCTTGATAACAGTCTCTGTGCTTGTTCTTGTGCTGCTGAGGTCGTCCTTCCCTCTGTTTCGCTCTTTCTTCTCCAGTACTCGGTTAGGTTTAGGCACACTGGCTGACGGATGGACTTTGCCGTAGCAGCTAGTCTGCTTGACGCTCGATTTCTTCTTCAAGAAGCTGGTGTTGCATGTACCTTGGAATAAAGCTTGGGGCTGCCCTGGGAATGAGTTCCTGTGGTAAATTGAGCGTCCAGTGGGTGACCAGCCCCTGCTAGTTCCTTGTTATGTAAGTACACCTCAGAATTCTTCCTTCAACTGTGCCCACCTCTGCTGTTCCTCTGATGCCAACTGGCCTGAGTCCCCCAGAATTGCGATCTCCGCACGGCCATCGCGATGAAGTGCATGCATTTCTCTGTCCAGCGCCTCTGCTCTCCATACGAACCTCCTCGTTCCTTTCTCAATGGACACTACTTCTGCTACTGCTTCCGCTTCCCTTGCCTTAGAAGATTCAAGCGCTATTGGGGGCTGTGAGAGATGCCTTCTATCAGTGCTTCCCGGGTTATAGACCTTAATAGTCTCGTGATGACTGCACGCGCTTCCTCCACCGGCTCGCCAGCGCCATGCAACAACTATTTCCTGGTAAAGTGGCCTACTGCAAAGGTCCCGTGAAATGAATTGTCAATGCAATCACGGTCTCCACTGTGAGCCTTGCACTGTTTCTGTACTCGGCGGGTTGTTTCCTGTAGTATGGTCTGTTCTACATGGGTGCATGTACTCTTATACTCCTACTCAGCGCCAGGCAAATGTGCCAATAATTCCTTGCAGATTCATTGCATTTAGAATAGGTTGATCAGCTCTGTCTGCATGTGAGAATGCTTGGCAACACTTGTTACACCTGTCCCCCAGCCCCAGGCACTTGGACTGCTGTGACAAGGATACATGGGGACTGGAAGGAATTGAAGTTGCTTTATCGATGCGCCGCTGGGTACTTTTTCAGGTGTTCCGCTGGCTCCCGTTTGCTCGCGCCCAAATATTTTATGGGGGCTTGCACTAACAGCCCAAACATCCAGGGGCTTTGTGCCAGAACCTGTTTTCTGCATACCCAGCCAGGACGATGGAAGTGGCTCTTTTTCCTGCTTTGTGGTTGGTAAGCGCTCCCTCGTTGCGCTTGAATAGCACCCATACGATCTGTATTTCCTTTTCCACTATCCGCCCTTTGTCTGTTTCCGCGGCCCAGCCACGAACCATTGTTATGGAGGCCCCGACTCCACCGTTGAAATTCTGGCGATGGAGGGCTCTATCGATAGCCTCGTTTGGTTACGCTGCCCGGAGTCTTCCATAGCCTGCTCCCTTGCCGGTCATGGAATAAACCTACAGTAAGGCACATTTCGAGGAGCCACTATAGTTAGAGTATTCTCCGGAAAACTGGGACATATACTCAGACATTGCCACGTTTGTTACTCCCCTGCTAATCAAAAAGATGCTAATAGCAATTGTAGCAACTGAAGAGCAACTGAAGCTCTTGGGGTTCACTTTGAAGACGAAAGTACAACACAACGAAAGCAAGGAACTCCATTGCGCCTGCTTTGCGACTCCCGTCAAGCCTTGATGGGCGGCAAAGGCCGAGGCATTCGTCATGAACTTTTGTTGCAGTATAAGCAGGCTCCGCCTGGTGGAATGCATAAGCTGTTGTTTTTTCAACATGGTGTTCCCCAGCTGCTAATCAGCGCACCACCAGAAGTCATGTCCCGCGCAGTCTCTATTCGCGAAGGGCTGAGGTTTTGATAAGGATTTCGGAAGGGCATATGAAGATTCTTTGTGGCTTCGATTCTCAACGCCTGCCACTAACCACTGTATTCATCAGGTCGCCCTTTTTTTCGGGGTGGGGTTCATTGTTCTCACCTGCCCCGATGAACCCGGTGGTGCTACGAAGCGTAAAGACAATCCTCGATCGTGTGAGGGACGGCGTGTGCTACAATAGAGCCAACAATTATGATAAGCGTTCCGAAAAACAATTAACCTAGCCTTCACTCTCCAAAGGCCCTGAGCACAGCGGCCAAGGGCCTCCACCTGTTGCAGAGAGGAGCAGGCAGATCATGACGTACACCACACCACTGCAACCAATGCTGCACAGCAGCTGCACGCGCAGGCACAACCTAGTCCCCTCCGGTGCATGCACTGGAGTTGTAGACATTCGCCGAACACTTACATCGCCCGGCACTGCCCGCCTGCACGCAGGGAGAGATACATGTACCAACCTTACAAACACCATGCTGCCTAGGGGCCCTCGAAGCGTCGTGTTCGCCCGCTCCTGTTAATGGGCTGTTTGAACCTTAGCACATTGGATATACACACTACATTTCGCCTGCTCTCAGATGGAGCTAAGTTTCATGTTTCCCTCCTGTTCACTGCAGTGAAAACGGCAGCCTCTACCTCCGGCACGGCAGCTTCGCCGGAAGCGATATTGCCGTCTTGACGTTTTGCGGCACAAATGCAAAGTCTGGTGCTTCTACTCACTCAATGAATTACCATTACATTTTTTCTTAATATGGGAATCGCTGTTCCGTATGGAACCAGCGAAGGAGCAGGTGTGCCGTTTGCGCTCAGCAGCTCCTGTAGAATGCAAGGCGGGTAGGCCGATCGCAGTAGGTGTTGGTAAACGGTCGCTTGAAGAGCGGCTTGTGGAGACTAACTCTGAATGAGACATTTAACTTCTATATTTTGCATCATGAAACGAGCATTGTCTCAGCGACAGCCTGTTTTGTTTCCGCAGGTAAGGCGAGCGTGAATGCTGCGAGCCTGCATGCATTGTTGGGAGACAACCACGGTCGGGTAAACGCCGTTTTGATTCATTCGAAGAGGCTGTTTTGAAAAGCAATTTTTGTTTTATTTTAATTTTTTGTCTGCATTGATTAGTGCGGATTTTCCTTCACGGGGTCTGTGACCTGTGGGGCACCGTTTCGCTGCTTTGGGGGATAGCGTTTGCTTGAAATCAGACGCTAACGTATCAGCAATGAGTGCATCGAGGCCTCCTGAAGAGGCCGAATGCGCGGGTATGCTAACAGAGGTTGGCGAAGACGCTGGTGGGAGCCCTCGTGGTCCCAACACCACTGAAGCACCAACCAAGGAGTCCGCGATGACAACAGGCGCTAAACAATTGGGGGGCAAAGGCAAGGAAATGCCGGGCGCACTGGAAGTCTCAGAGAATACTTCGGCGGCGAAGACCAAGCCAGCCATAGCTGAGGTGGGATCACTTAAAAACCGGTCGTTTTTCTAGCACAACTTGTGGGGGCAAAGTTCGCATTGCCGCAGAGGTGCTCCATTACTTTATTTCTGTGGCGTGTGCAGCAAAAATCAATGATGAAGAAGTTGAAGGACCTCCTTGGCGATGATCCATGGGCGGCTCTCAGGTGAGGGGAGGCATTGTGACACCCGTTTCTTTTTTCCCTTCCTCCTACACACGCATTTTGGATGAGGCCGTAGAGGTATTGAGCGGTTCTTGAACAGTTCTTCTGCCGCAGTGCCTCGAGTTTGGGAGCGTTGAATTTCGGCGCGTCGGGAAATGGGCCCGACAGAAGTTAGCGTTGAAGAATGTCAACATCGTCGCAGACACACATTTTTCTTAAGAGCGCCAGAACTGCATTATTATGAGTACCATTCTAGGTGGTGTAGCTTGTCAGGATCTAGCGTCTGGATTTTAAGGAACGTGCTGTGTTGTGTACTTTGGTCGGCAGGCATGCGAACAAATATGACGCCCTTCTGCTTGCATTGGGAACAATCGCGAGCCTCACCCTCGGTGCATTGCTGGTGAGTGCATATGTATAAAGGCGAATGGTGCAGTTTGATCAAAGCCTTAGCCTTCTGGATTTTTCGGATTTGAAATTAGAGCGTTTGATAGTATGTGTGGGTTGATGCTAGTGGTGTTGAATTGACCGCCAAGATTGACGGCAAGAGCGGCCCGCTCCCCCTATGTGTAGTTGCTTTGGAGTTTGGGGTTTGGGGTTTCTGCTCATCTACCTCTTAGCTTTTGAATGCCTGTCTATCTTCCTTTTTTTCAGCCAGCCTTTTTCATTGTCTTCGGCGGCCTCCTTGAAGAGATGAACACCACCCTAGATACAAATTATTACGTCCACCTTATGGCTTGGTTTGGAGTAAGTTAGAAACTTTCCGTTGGCACGACTGCAGTGATGCTGCTTTAATAATCCCAACACACCCGCATGCTTACACATGCGCTTTTCGCCATCCTCTGCTGGAGCAGTCAGACCACTATCTTCACGCAGACGTTTGCAGTACCTAGAGCACTGCAAGTCATACATAGTTGTTGAATTTTTAAAACTAATCGCTAGTAAACGAACCAAGGTGCTTCGGATGGCTGAGGGCCAAGGGCTTATGATGTTGGGTTGGGTTTGCAGTTGATAGCGTTCGTGGGCGGGTCGATTGCTACGGCATGCTTTGAAATCGTCGCGGATAGGCAGGCCAAAGCATTTAAAGAAAGTTACTTCAAGGCTATCGTACGACAGGTGCGGAGAACATGATTCTTTTCCCTCGCGGAATCCTCAAAACCCCTTTAGAGCCTCACCTGCAGCGCCCCTGACTGCTATTGCTTGAAAGCCGAATATTGTTGACGCAGGAAATGGCGTGGTTTGACCAGAGCAGCGTCGGAAGTCTAGCCTCGCGCATGGAGGCAAATGTGGCTTCAATTCGCAGCGGTGTCGGGCTCAAACTGGCTATGGTAAGATAAATGCACCACCACTCACCTTTTGCTGCCAGGTTGCGGCTGTGGATGCCCACAAGATGCCCCACGCTGAGCCGATCAACACTATACCATAACCGTCGAGAATTAGCCTGCTGATCTTTCACAGGACAGAGGCGTGACGGCAGTTTGTGCTTCGGGCCGGTGCGGCGTTTGTTTATGTGGATTATGCCACTAAGTCCTAAATCCAGTGTAAAACTGTACACGCTGTTGGGCTTGTGCACCACTCATGGGACGCTGCTCTTTGCCTTGTGTGTGACTGCGCCTTTCCCTTCTTTGTGCAGCTTATTCAACTGGCTACCACAGTGGTTGGCGCTCTGGTGGTTGGCTTTATCAAGAGCTGGAAGCTAACGCTAGTTTGTGCAGCGGCAGTGCCAGTTGTCGCAAGTTTTGGAGGTTTGGTCGCCTGGGCTGTTCACAAGCAAGAAAGGGACAGTAAGTATCTATTTGAGGATTTTGCTGTGGCCATGCGACTGAGAACACTGGAGATGTTGGCTTTCCACCCCGCAGACTTAACTGTGCATGATTTACCACGCAGCTCTTGTGGGGATTGGATTAGTTCCTCTTTTATCGATGTAGTTTTGTCTGTATGCTTTGGAATAGATGTGCTGTTTCGCCCTAACTGCGTGCACGTGTCTGCCTGTTGACAGCATTGGACTCTTACTCCTCTGCGGGAAGCGTCAGCGAGGAGGCGATAATGGCCATACGAACAGTTGTGTCTTTGGGGTTGGAGGGACGCATGGCTGAGAAATACCGAAGCAAACTCCGGGACGCCGAACGGGCTGGAATACGGGGAGGATTTTGGGTTGCGCTGGGTGAGCCTTTTTCTCGAGGTTTTCCCCTTGTCACGTCTGGATCCAGCAGATAGAATTTGGAAGAGTCTCTTTGATGTTTTCGTACAGCTGACACCTGACTGACTGTGGGCTACTTGCTCAATCGATTCCATTTCATCTATTATTCACATGCAGGATTGGGGGGCCTGATGGTATCCGTGTTCCTAATGGCCTCCATGGGCTTGTGGTACGGGGGACATCTGCTCGCGGACAGCACCGAGGAGGCCATCGCAAGTCAGACGTATAGGCACATTGTTTGCTGCTAGAGCTTGCCTAAGATTGAGGCATGTTTGGTCGGCTGTTAGAGCCTACATCGTGGGAGTCTTTGCTAGCAAAGCTGCTCTCCAGAGTCGTTTGTAGTGTCGAAGATTGTTCGCCTCTGCGCCTCTAAGATATTCGCCTCGTGCATGTTATTTTTTTGCACTTGTTGGCTGGTTGTCTCCTCTACGTTTCTTTATGCTTGCATTGTTTTCGTTCACCGTATTATTGCTTCGCGCTTTATGCTCTGCTTCAGTCATGACAACACCCATCATCCCAAATGATCCCGCTACTTGGCCAAAGCCACAGTTCACGGGAGGAACTGCAATAACGGTGTTTTTCGTTATTTTGATTGGAGCTTTCTCTATGGGCCAGATCATCCCAAGCATCACGGCACTGATCAAGGCAAGCGGGAATGCTCTTATGCATCACTTTTCACTAGCGATGAATTCGCACAAGCAAGCGCCGAGGACATGGCTGTTTGGAGTGGTGCTGGCCACCTCCAGGGTGCCCCCGCGCATCGGGGTGGCGCGTCGTTCTTGCACATGATGCATGCTTTGCCTTTGCCTTTTCCTGCCTCCAGGCAAACACCGCAGCGATGGATTTGGAAACAGTGATACGACGAACTTCAGCCATCGACCCCCTCGCGAGCGGCGGCCGTGTACGTTGTGAAGGGACAGATACTTAGTTTGCAGCAACCCGAGTGACTAAGCCACTGACTTTCTAAAAGACATGCTCGCTTGCACTCTCTCGCTTCCATCGAGTGACTCACAATAGATCCCTCTACTCCTATCTTGATAGCGCTGCGCATGTCCCCTTCCAGACTGACGTGAAATTGGATGGAGACATTGAATTCAAGAACGTTTCCTTTTCGTACCCTACCCGTCCGGAACGGCCCGTTTTCACCGATTTGAATCTCCGTATCCCAGCTGGGAAGTGCGTTGCACTGGTGGGAGGCTCTGGTGAGGCTTCTCACGGCAGCGTGAAGCTGTTTTTTTGAGTGCATCCACGAGGCTGTCTGCGCTATGGAAATCCACCGTAGTGTTAGAAGAGAAGGTGTTAAATCCTGTTGAGTGCGCACAGGCTGTGGCAAGTCGACGATTTTGCAACTTCTTCAACGCGTTTATGATTGCGAGCAAGGAACTGTAACGGTTAGTGGCGTGTAAGTATAGACATAAAAGTCTATTGGCTCGCTGCCGCAGTAACTATTTAATATCGAACATGTCTGAAGTATACCCATGCATAGTGCCTGGACGGACTCTGACGGCCCTTCTTCTCGTGCGGTTTTTGCCCTGCACGTCCGCAGGCCCATCAAGGAGATCAATGTCAAGACGCTAAGGCGGCAGATGGGTGTTGTGAGTCAAGAGCCACGCCTTTTCTCTGCGACGGTGAGCTTTTCTGCGATCAAGCCGGGATAACACGGGCGCTGCTGACTTACCACCCAGCAGACTTACGAGTGCAGTGTTTTCCTCCTAGTTTTTGTGCGGATCGAATTAATTCCTCTATTTATGCATGAGTTTGCGTGGCCGCATTCGACGCGCTCTCAATGTGCATGCTTGCGCGTCAACTTCTACCAGCCCAGCATGCTCAAGCGATTGCATGAACATTTCTAGGATACAGTTGCACGTGGTACTCTAGAGCTGCTTGAGCAGCAGCACCTGCAGGGCAAATTGTGACATGGCATTTGCTCTCTGATCTGACGCTGCGCCGATGCCAGGTGAAGCAGAATATTGAATTAGGCTCGCCGGATCCGGTGACATTGGAACAGGTTGTAGAAGCAGCGAAGCAAGCAAACGCTGACGGATTTATCACCCGTTTCCCAGACGGATACGAGACAGACTGCGGCGCCTATGGAGGGCACCTTTCGGGCGGTCAGAAACAGCGTATTGCCATCGCAAGAGCTCTGGTGCGTTGCTTTTAAGAAAAACACTATTGCGTGTTATGAAGTTTCAATACGGATCGGCTGCATGAGCAGGGACATCCGCAGCTGAAGGAGTTAGTAATAGCTTGGGTGTCTTGGATATATTAGCCGTGCTGTTGCATTGCCAACCAAGGCATTCCCACATGGGTCACATTCGTTAAGGCATGAGGTACAGAAGCATCGTCAACGCGGGGATGGGAATGGGAGATATGTGTGATGACGCTGCGCAGATCCGTCGCCCAAACATACTGATATTTGACGAAGCCACTTCCGCTTTGGACAGCCAGTCTGAAAGGGTTGTTCAGGTGAGTAAGGCGTGTGCCTGTTTAATTGATTTAGATCTGTGCAATTTACAGTAGCGCGTCATGAAAGGCGTATGGTATGGCTTTTTCACTTCGTTTTTGCAGGATGCTCTGGACGCTTTGGTGAAAACGACCAAAGCTACAACGTTGATCGTTGCTCACCGGCTAAGTACCATCCAGAACGCGGACTTAATCATTGTCTTGGAACCGTCTGCCACTCATGGAGCTACCGTTGTGCAGCAGGGGACTCACCACGAGCTAATGAAGGACACTGTAGGTCGCACGCAGATTGGGGGATGGATAGGTAGACCTGTGAATCGGACCACACAACATTATGCTGAAGGCTGTTCTGGGTTGCTCCACACCAAGAGTGGAAGATTTTTTTGGCAGTGCAGATTATATATTATCACACAGTAATAGGAATTATTATCGAGTGGGTCGTGCCTGCGATGGGTTGTGCTTTTCGTAGGAAGGGCTGTATTACCACATGGTGTCCAGTCAAGTTGTTCCCAAGATTGATGACGATAAGGAAGACAGCGCCGTGCAGGAAACGATGTCGGTGCATCCCGAGTCTGAGCAAGGTGATGCCGCTGGCGCTCCTAACGTTCAGGTTGGTCGACCCACACGGCCCACAGCACGCGAGAGCTGCAAGTCGACACACTAAAATCTTGAGCTAGCAGGAATGCTCAGCAAAATGGGAGTTTCCCGCATCGTGGGGGGGATGGTTGGAAGTGCGAACATGGGGAAGAGCCGAACAGGATTCCCGGGATGATGTCATTAGCGTGCATGCACTCAGATGTATTGTCATTTTATTCAGCTTGCAGACTCAGGCACCACAGTAGGATCTCAGTGGCGGGTTTAGCTGCTCTTTGCGCCAACGTTTGTGAGGGGAGTCTTCACGTTGTCATTAGAGTTGAGCATTTGGGTCTGCATGAATATCCTGTTGTGCATGCGTGTGTGATGTCAGGAGAGACGTATGTCTGCGGATTTTTTGAGTAAGTTCACACACCAATCGTATTGGTTTACAAGCCTTGGAGAGCTTGTAGGACTAGACAAACCAATTGAGTCATTACTTATTATCACATTGTAGCACCGTCGCTTGTTGAGAATAGAAATGCAGCGTGAGAATGTCAACAGCGGTGCGTACCCTGCTGCTACATATCAGGTGCATCTATTGCCAAGGCATCTCGATCAATGGCTAAGAGCCCGAACTGCCGCACTTACAGACTCATTTTGGAAGATTGGCCGGTCGTGATCTTGACTTTCGCTGCGGCAATCTGCGCGGGGTGAGAATGGAGCAGGGGCTAGGTTGGGGCCTTCTCAAGGGCGCCCCCCTTGTTGCGTGATCGCCTTTAAATTTCATGTATGTATTTTTTGTATGTCTGGGTAGCTTATTTGCGCCATTCTGCCTGTAGTGTTTCGCCTTTGTCTCAATGAGGCAGATGGCTTATGTGCTTTGTGGGTTGTTCAGGATTATCTTCCCTGTTTTTGGCTATAGCTTCGCCCAGTTTATCGGCACGTACTTCAGCCCCGACCCTCAAGCGATCCGCGATGGAGTATGTCAAGGCATTACGGTGCCGTCGCCCACTTCTCCCCGTAGAGCACCCAAGCGTACATGGGCCGCTGTTTCCACCTTTTCCGCGTGCATAATCCGCAAATGTAGTGTGTATTAGTTCTCGTTAGCACTTGCCGAGCGTTGGTGATAATCTTTGATGTATTTATCAGGCTTCGAAATGGGCTGTGGTACTAGTTGGTCTGGGTTTTGCCCACGGTCTATCTGATGCGATCAAGATTTGCGGCATAGACTATTGCGGGTATAAAGTTGCAACGCGGTTGCGAGAAAAGGCATTCACCCAAACTATACATCAGGATGTCGCGTTCTTTGACTTGCCAGATAATAATGCAGGTGCGCACCCGGGATCCGTGCATCCCTCAGCCATCAGTCCTTGCGGCTGTAGGTGATCCCTTCATGCAGCCAGTCAACATTAGCTGCTTGTTTTTGCGTTATTTGCTGCTTGTTTCAGGAAATGTCTCCAGCATCCTCAGTGCAGATGTGCTCGATGTAAAGGTTGGCTGCACTGGCAACGTTGTCTCCGTGGTTCAGGTGCTTGCTTCGCTTGTGGCAGGTATACATCAAACAATACATTTTCCTACATGCCTTTGTCACAGTAAAGAGCACTTCAGCTTGTCACAGTACTACGGTTTCAGTGATGTTGGTTGGCCTGCGACATTATACCCAATGCTTGCTTGCTATTGGCTTCGCAATACAGGTCTCATCATCGCATTCACTGGAGAGTGGAGACTGGCTTTGGTAATGCTTGCGTTTTGCGTTCTATTGCTCCCCGCTAACGTTATCGAAGCTAAGTTCACCAGTGCGTCTACTGTCCCCGCCGGTTTGCCACGTTCACGTTGCAATGCAGCTGCTGAGCCTCCTTCCCGTGTTGCGCAGGTTGTGATAAAGCTGTTTTTATGTTATTTCATGGTTGAACTGCGTTTCATGCAGACCCAGGGGTGTCTCCAAAAGGGCGGCGTGGTGGTCCAATCAAGGGAGCTTCAGTGATCATGAACCAAGCAACCGCTGGCATCAAGGTCGTTAGTGCTTTTGGGCTGGAGGAGGTATGACGCAACTTTTCAGATACAGCCTTTCTTATTTATGCTTGTTAATCGCCACTGCCTATGCGTACGTTTGGTTGCACCTTTCCCACAGGCGTTCATCAAGTCCTACGTTGAAAGCGTTGATGCGGAACAAGCAACGAAGGTCAGGGAAGCGCTGGTCCTGGGTATCGCTTACGGCTTCAGTCAGGTGAGGAACCACTTTTCTCCACCGCACCAGAGTGTGACTCTCATGAAAGCTTTTGCGCAATGACAAGCAGCTCCTGTGAAGGTGTTTGGCGCGCAGGCGGTTAATTATTTTGTCAACTGTTTAGGCTTGTGGTACGGTAGCAAGTTGGTTTCTACAAGCGGCGTTAAACCCGAAGGTGCGTGAGCCTAGAAAGCCGTTACGCCAATGCATTACTGAAGAATGGTGTGCAAAAGCCTTCGCAGCATAGTGTATGCATGTAAGGTGCTTGTGGCGGTTCAGTGATCACGCGAACAATTTTCTCCTTGACTTTTGCGGTATCCTCCGCTGGACAAACTGTTCTCTTCACAACTGACGCTGGAAAGGCTGCGGCTGCAGGTCGTCGTGTTTACGCACTCATCGACAAGGTGAGCTGCCGCCCACCCGCTGATAGATAATTACATATATTCATATGTATATGTATATGTATATATATATATATACGCGCACCCGCACTTATATTATTATTACTATTATGTAATATTATAATATGCCCACGATTGCGCATTCTGGAGACTCAAAGAGTCCTCGCTGGATTGATGCTTTTATCGTGTAGTCCCGGCTACGTTGCATGGCGTTTGCTGCGAAAGCAACTGTGAGCAAAACTTAGTATGCTGCGGGGCCGCTCAGGCGTCCGACATTGATGTACGCGATTCGGGAGGGAAAATTGTGAGCCACGAAAACTTCACAGGGAATGTCGACTTCGATCAAGTCAACTTCACCTACCCAACGAGACCAGAAAACAGAGTAAGTCCTGTGCCTGAAGCACTGCTTTTGACGACGCTGAATTTTGTCGTGTTGGCTGTGGGCATCAACTAACCGCCGCGTAGATTGTTAGTAAGTGAAGCAGTGGCTTTCTGGGGGAGAGGACTCCTATGGCATGGACGAATTTACAGGAGCAACAACAACGATAGACAGCAACAAAGGTGTAAGGCTGCCCGCTGCCGCGTGCTTCATGCATTCGCAGGTCTACAGAAATCTCTCCTTCTCTATCAAGGAAGGCGAATCTGTTGCGCTAGTTGGAGCGTCGGGTTGTGGAAAGTCCACCATTGTGCAGCTGGTGGTGAGTTGATATTTCTGGGCTGAACAAGTGCACGCGCTTCCTGCACAGCTTGAGTGAGAATATTATGCTGGGTTCACAGCGCGTCTTTCGGCATGCACCGATAGTTACGACAACTTCTGTTGAGTTAGCTGAGAATGGGAGCTCGGCACGGTCTGTGTTGTCCCGCACCATAGGAACGCTTTTATGACTTAAAGAGCAACTTCAGTGTCCAAACAGAAACGCAACGAAAAGCGTCTGCGTCAGAGGGCGGACCAACGCACAGAACCGCAGACGCTGGGGGGAAGATTATGTTCGACGGCGAGGACCTTCGCGAGCTCAATGTTGTGTAGGTTGATCACTCTTTAGTGTAACATCTATTGGTTCTTAACGCGCAACCTGTTCCCGTTCCAACGTAATTTTCCCGACGTTACACGCCACATTAAACGCAGCATTTCTCTAGCGCATCGTGATTGTTTGATGCAAATCCTCAATGGTAACTTCTTTGTAAAGTAAACAACTTCATACGTGGACAATTTCATTCGTAGATTGTTCTGTCCTGCGTACCAAGTGATACATTTTTTATCGATCCGTAATTAGTTTGATTCTTTGCAGCAACTCACCATGATGCCCTCCGTACGCGTGTTGTTGCCTTAGGTCTGTTCGTCAGCAAGAGGGACTGGTTAGCCAGGAACCCGTCCTATTTGACATGACAGTTGAGGAGAACATCGCTGCGTCAAAACCAGGAGCCACTGAGGTGCATTTATAATGTATACACATACTTGTGTAGACGTATGTACACATATATATATATATATATTTATGTATATATATATATATATATATATATATGTATATGCGTATGAACCCTTCCGGTTGAATATATTCATATACTTC